GGTAAGATTCAGCATATCAAAGAACCCCATATATTCAATTTTTGTTGAAATCAAACAAAGTTTAATTTTGGACCCCAATTTGGACCAACTTGAAAACTGGGCCAAAAATCTAAAATCAAAATACATGGTTAGATTCAGCATATCAAAGAACCCCATATATTCAATTTTTGTTGAAATCAAACAAAGTTTAATTTTGGACCCCAACTTGGACAAACTTGAAAACTGGTCCCATAATCAAAAATCTAAACACATGTTTAGATTCAGCATATCAAAGTACCCCAAGAATTCAATTTTTGTTAAAATCAAACTTAAGTTTAATTTTGGACCCTTTGGACCTTAATGTAGACCAATTTAAAAAACGGGACCCAAAATTAAAAATCTAAAAACACTGTTAGATTTGGCATATCAAAGAACCCCAATAATTCAATTTTTGATGAAATCAAACAAAGTTTAATTTTGGACCCTTTTGACCTCAATATGAACCAATTTGATAGCGGGCCCACAAAATAAAAAATCTAAATACATGGTAAGATTCAGCATATCAAAGAACCCCATATATTCAATTTTTGTTGAAATCAAACAAAGTTTAATTTTGGACCCCAATTTGGACCAACTTGAAAACTGGGCCAAAAATCAAAAATCTAAACACATGTTTAGATTCAGCATATCAAAGAACCCCAAAAATTCAATTTTTGTTAAAATCAAACTAAGTTTAATTTTGGACCCTTTGGACCTTAATGTAGACCAATTTAAAAAACGGGACCCAAAATTAAAAATCTAAATACACGGTTAGATTTGGCATATCAAAGAACCCCAATAATTCAATTTTTGATGAAATCAAACAAAGTTTAACTTTGGACCCTTTTGACCTCAATATGAACCAATTTGATAGCGGGCCCACAAATAAAAAATCTAAATACATGGTAAGATTCAGCATATCAAAGAACCCCATATATTCAATTTTTGTTAAAATCAAACAAAGTTTAATTTTGGACCCTTTGGACCTTAATGTAGACCAATTTAAAAAACGGGACCCAAAATTAAAAATCTAAAAACACTGTTAGATTTGGCATATCAAAGAACCCCAATAATTCAATTTTTGATGAAATCAAACAAAGTTTAATTTTGGACCCTTTTGACCTCAATATGAACCAATTTGATAGCGGGCCCACAAAATAAAAAATCTAAATACATGTTTAGATTCAGCATATCAAAGAACCCCATATATTCAATTTTTGTTGAAATCAAACAAAGTTTAATTTTGGACCCCAACTTGGACCAACTTGAAAACTGGTCCCATAATCAAAAATCTAAACACATGTTTAGATTCAGCATATCAAAGAACCCCAAAAATTCAATTTTTGTTAAAATCAAACTAAGTTTAATTTTGGACCCTTTGGACCTTAATGTAGACCAATTTAAAAAACGGGACCCAAAATTAAAAATCTAAATACACGGTTAGATTTGGCATATCAAAGAACCCCAATAATTCAATTTTTGATGAAATCAAACAAAGTTTAATTTTGGACCCTTTTGACCTCAATATGAACCAATTTGATAGCGGGCCCATAAATAAAAAATCTAAATACATGGTAAGATTCAGCATATCAAAGAACCCCATATATTCAATTTTTGTTGAAATCAAACAAAGTTTAATTTTGGACCCCAATTTGGACCAACTTGAAAACTGGGCCAAAAATCTAAAATCAAAATACATGGTTAGATTCAGCATATCAAAGAACCCCATATATTCAATTTTTGTTGAAATCAAACAAAGTTTAATTTTGGACCCCAACTTGGACAAACTTGAAAACTGGTCCCATAATCAAAAATCTAAACACATGTTTAGATTCAGCATATCAAAGTACCCCAAGAATTCAATTTTTGTTAAAATCAAACTTAAGTTTAATTTTGGACCCTTTGGACCTTAATGTAGACCAATTTAAAAAACGGGACCCAAAATTAAAAATCTAAAAACACTGTTAGATTTGGCATATCAAAGAACCCCAATAATTCAATTTTTGATGAAATCAAACAAAGTTTAATTTTGGACCCTTTTGACCTCAATATGAACCAATTTGATAGCGGGCCCACAAAATAAAAAATCTAAATACATGGTAAGATTCAGCATATCAAAGAACCCCATATATTCAATTTTTGTTGAAATCAAACAAAGTTTAATTTTGGACCCCAATTTGGACCAACTTGAAAACTGGGCCAAAAATCTAAAATCTAAATACATGGTTAGATTCAGCATATCAAAGAACCCCAAAAATTCAATTTTTGTTAAAATCAAACTAAGTTTAATTTTGGACCCTTTGGACCTTAATGTAGACCAATTTAAAAAACGGGACCCAAAATTAAAAATCTAAATACACGGTTAGATTTGGCATATCAAAGAACCCCAATAATTCAATTTTTGATGAAATCAAACAAAGTTTAATTTTGGACCCTTTTGACCTCAATATGAACCAATTTGATAGCGGGCCCACAAATAAAAAATCTAAATACATGGTAAGATTCAGCATATCAAAGAACCCCATATATTCAATTTTTGTTGAAATCAAACAAAGTTTAATTTTGGACCCCAATTTGGACCAACTTGAAAACTGGGCCAAAAATCTAAAATCTAAATACATGTTTAGATTCAGCATATCAAAGAACCCCATATATTCAATTTTTGTTGAAATCAAACAAAGTTTAATTTTGGACCCCAACTTGGACCAACTTGAAAACTGGGCCCATAATCTAAAATCTAAACACATGTTTAGATTCAGCATATCAAAGAACCCCAAGAATTCAATTTTTGTTAAAATCAAACTAAGTTTAATTTTGGACCCTTTGGACCTTAATGTAGACCAATTTAAAAACGGGACCCAAAATTAAAAATCTAAATACACGGTTAGATTTGGCATATCAAAGAACCCCAAAAATTCAATTTTTGATGAAATCAAACAAAGTTTAATTTTGGACCCTTTTGACCTCAATATCAACCAATTTGATAGCGGGTCCACAAATAAAAAATCTAAATACATGGTTAGATTCAGCATATTAAAGAACCCCAAGAATTCAATTTTTGATAAAATCAAACAAAGTTTAATTTTGGACCCTTTTGACCTCAATGTGGACAAAGTTGATAACGGGGCCCAAAAATAAAAAATCTAAATACATGGTTAGATTTAGCATATCAAAGAACCCTATATATTCAATTTTTGTTGAAATCAAACAAAGTTTAATTTTGGACCCCGATTTGGACCAACTTGAAAACTGGGCCCATAATCAAAAATCTAAATACATGTTTAGATTCAGCATATCAAAGAACCCTAAAAATTCAATTTTTGTTAAAATCAAACTTAAGTTTAATTTTGGACCCTTTTGACCTTAATGTAGACCAATTTGAAAACGGAACCAAAAATTAAGAATCTAAATACACGGTTAGATTTGGCATATCAAAGAACCCCAATAATTCAATTTTTGATGAAATCAAACAAAGTTAAATTTTGGACCCTTTGGACCTCAATGTGGACCAATTTAAAAACGGGGCCCAAAATCCAAAAACTTAATACACGGTTAGATTCAGCATATTAAAGAACCCCAAGAATTCAAGAATAAAACCCCATTGAAATTGATCAAGAAATAAGCAATTTATACGAAGTATCTTCTTTTGCACAATACTGTGCAATTGAATATTTCTTGCTATTGTGCAATACTGTACAATTGACAATTTCTTGCTATTGCGCAATATTGTGCTATTGGATATTTCTTGCTATTGCGCAATACTGTGCAATTGAAGATTTCTTGCTATTGCACAATACTGTGCAATTGAAGATTTCTTGCAATTGTGCAATACTGTGCAATTGAAAATTTCTTGCTATTGCACAATACTTATTATATAATAATTTACACATCCTGTTTGGTGTGTATCTCCTACCATATCATTATTATTTGCTTTTAATTTTAATCAGAAATAACCAACTTAAAATGGAAAATTTTAAAAGAAAAAAAAAGGAAAAAAAGAAAAAAAAAGAAAAAAAAAGGAAAAAAAGAAAAAAAAAGAAAAAAAAAAAATCCCCCCCCAAATGTTTTGAACCCCCTTATGATTCATCACCCCAAACTCAATCCCAGCCTTCCCTTTGTGGTATGGTACCTTGCAGTACAATTTCAGAGAGATCCATACACTTGAACACAAGTTATTGTCTGGAAACTAGAAAAATGCTTATTTTTGGCCCCTTTTTGGCCCCCTTTTCCTAAACGTTTCGGGCAATTACCCACAAACTCAATTCCAACTTTCCCTTTGTGATATGGAACCTTGTAGTACAATTTCAGAAATATCCAAACACTTACACACAAGTTATTGTCTTGAAACTAGAAAAATGCTTGTTTTTTGCCCCTTTTTTGGCCCCTAATTCCTAAAATTTTGAGGCAATTACCCCCAAAATCAATTACAGCCTTCCCTTTGTGATATGGAACCTTGTGGTACAATGTCAGAGAGATCCATACACTTACACACAAGTTATTGTCTGGAAGTTACAAAAATGCTTATTTTTGGCCCCTTTTTGGCCCCTGATTCCTTAACTGTTGGTACCATAACCCCCAAAATCAATCCCAACCTTCCTTTCGTGGTATTTAACCTTATGGTAAAATTTCATGGAGATCCATTTACTTAAACTAAAGTTAGAGTGCGAAAACCAATGTGTCTTCGGACGACGCCGGACGACGACGACAACGACGCCAACGTCATACCAATATACGACCAAAAAATTTTCAATTTTTGCGGTCGTATAAAAAATGTCAAATAATTATCTTTTTGTATCAATGGAAGGAGCCATGGTCCAAAAACATTGGTTCAAACTGCAAAATAACAACCCAGGCAGTGCAAAGGCAACCCCTAGTAGTGACATTGTTACTTTGTAATTTGTAAAGGCATGGATAAAATATATCAAAGCGGGAAAATCTCTAAAAGCCATTGTTTTTCCAGTATTTATGTTTACTAAACTCACCTGTGCAAAACATAAAGGAATAAATGTCATGTAATATGCTGTCAATAAGGAATTGAATAAAATCTGCTTGATTCTTTGGTTAAAATCTCGCTTTAAAACTTCAACTTCCTGTCGGACCATATCTGGATTCATGGAACAATTGTGGAACAAGATATCCATGTCTTTATTTCTGTGTCTAAGAACCGGACGATCTGAAACAGGTGCTGGCCATACAAACATCTTATGATAAAGGGGTTTTACTGTTGGTCCAAACATAAATACATATGTTAACATCCTGTAAAAAAATGCATAAAATTTTCGATTAAATTATAAACAAAAGACATAACATTAAACCACTTGTGTTTAATAGACAGTTTTTCATAATTTTATGTGTATGTTTATGAGCTTTTAATAGGGATACTCTTGACCTTGGCCTTTGGTGAGAGTTTCCTCTTCAACAGATTAGTTCATTGGTGATATGGTCATACTATGTTTGCCTTGAATGCTGGATGTTGAGTGTTCAATCCTTAGCTGAGTGAAACCAAAATCATTAAAACAGACATTTGCAGCTTTTCTACCAGGCCCTCAGCTTGAGGAATTAGAAAGTAAAAGCGAAAACCAAAAGGCCTGAAGTCAGAATAATGTGTCAGAGTAGAGTGACATATCAACATGTGGGATTTTGCATATTAATAATCTGACTCAGCATGTCTGCCTAGTATAAAGAAATCTTCAAATTCATATCATAATGACATGGTGGTATTGTCCTGAATATACATGTAATTATTGCCACAGGAAGTTAAGTAGTCATCAATCAATCTTCAAGCATTTACATGTGTATCCTAAAACCTTATAATAATAGGATATTTTTCTTTAGTAATTAATTTCAATGTCTCAGGAGCATCTGTAACATATTTCTTTTTTTTCTTTCTAACTTTGTTGAAAAAATATATTTTTGTGCTTGTTTTTTACGATACATAATTTGTAACACTATCATAGATACATGTAATGATCTTTTTAATATTTGTCCAATCATCAAATGCAAAATATTATCTAATGTTTTATGATTTACATTTACTATTATAAATTTAGAAATAAATGAGTGCATTTATTCTTGTGCCACTGGCAAAAATGTGATATCTAATTAATGCAATTGCAATAAAAATGTTAAGAAGGAAGATGAGATTATGAATGCTAGTTTTTATAAATTGCAAAATGCAAACCTGACACTGTTGCATTTTGCCAAAAATAAAAACATAAGAAAAATTTCTGAATTTACTTAAGGAATGACTGTAATATTTTTTTTGTCTATGAAGAAATAACATAAAAAAAATGTGGTGCACACTGAATAACCTGCTTAGCATGTTATTTAAAAGTGTGCACCACATTTTTGAGGTTATTTTGAATAGACAGAGAAAATATTAGTCATTCCTTAAAATTTAATTCTAAATTCCATTTTTAATGAGTAAATCATGAAAAAACGTTGATGAAGTCACAGTCACAATCTCACATGACAAAATTGTCTATAAGCTCATAGACAAAAAACTTTCAGCCAATCAGAAGATGTGTTACATCCAAAATTAAATTATAATACTGTCATCTGGAGATCAACTTATTTTGTATCAGTAAAATGACAATGAGAGCAACAACAGCCCAATCTAAGTTCATTTAAAGTTGATGAGTGTTTTTTAAAAGGTGTGTGTCTCACCAGGTTTTCCTCATAACTTTTTTATTCATTTATGACAATAGGTTGTATAAGTTTTGTTGTCTATGTCTGTGTGAAACCTTCATACTTACGGACAACATAAAAACAAACTGTATAACAGTGAATGATTAATAAGCACATAGTATCCTGTTATAGCTAAGGTTACGACAATCAGCTGACAAACCAGTACTTTTATTAACCATACTACCCAAAATAATGGTGATTTGCTAGATCTGGATCCTGAAATCTGAAACAGAATCAAAACAATTAGAAATATTTGCTGAATTCCATTATCATGAAAAAATGCACAAATTAGCAGTTTTTCATACTTTCTACTAAATCATGCCTTTTAATTATATTTGTCATGTCACCACACCATACATTATGCTTTCATGATTGCTTTTCTACAATTATTGATATTTAATCATGTTAACCATATCATTAAAACAAAACTAGCAATGTTCATATATCAGAAACAACCAGCCTTACCATCCCTCATACCCATATATCATTTCCAACTTTTTCTTTAGAAATAGCTGGGGTCACTTGAATGAAACTTCAAAAGAGGATTGGTCAACTCTAAAAGAGTAAGTGCTAGCAATGTCATACTGATACCATTAGACTAAAATTTTTATCTCATGGAATAAAAGGCCAAAATACTCAGTGATCAACAATACTCTGAAGTATTAGGTGTTAGTGTATGCTTCGTGTAAATGAACTTTCAGCTATAGTAATAAGCTGATGACACATCTATGGGACTTTTCTTTTTACTAATATTTTACCACAATATATTTGACTGCTTTGTTATGTGCATTGGTCTTATGAATGTCTATGTTTGTTTATAATTGAGCACAGTTTTAAGTCTATAAGTATGTACTAATACTGTGAGTAATATCCGAATTTTGATTTTCATGAACTATTCAAAAGTTATGGATAGTTCCAGAGGAGAATATTTTTGTAAAAGTTGAAGGGCGACATTGCAAGTGTTAAGAACACATGACCCTTTGGACCATGTGAGCTAAAAAGTGGTGTGTAAGTATAAATCTAATGAGGTATTACAGTTTATTGTTACCTCTTGAGCCAAACACCAGATGAGTCTTCTACTCATTAAAACACAGAGGAACAACAGGAGGTATGGATCAATAAGATAAAAATTCTGAAATAAAAAAAAACTTGTTTTATAATCATTTAAAATGTGGCTTTTATGTTATAAAACTTTTAAAAATACAACCATTTGATACAATGACAATAACAAAGTAACATTCATTATATTATATGTCTAGACATTTTTTTAATCTCTATAACCCATGCAATAAGCATGACACACAATGGAAAAGCACAAAATTGAAATGTCAGCATAAAAGAGAGGCGAAAGATACCAAATGACATTCAAACTCATAAGTAGAAAATAAACTGACAATGCCATGGTTAACATAGACAACTAACACTGAGTCTAATTCCATAGGTCACATTCGGGGAAAAGGGGAAGGTATTGTAGTTATGAAAATTGGAACATATCCGCTGTCATCTGTGAAACTTGATTAATATTTCATAGATATATATTATAATCCTAGCGATTCTATTCTTACTCTTTTACATTTGAAAATTCTGAAAATTGTGTTATCATCATAAACTTCCATTAAAATGATTAATATCAGTTAATACAGTATACTATAGTTTAGTTATATAAACACACAATGTATAGATATATAAATAAAATTCAAATGGCACCTTTACTAAAGGTCAAACATACATAGACATGTCTGTTGTCAAAGACCGTATGTTGACCTCTTGATGTTATTTTTTTGTTGGGTTGATATCTGATTACTAAATTTCCTTTCATTCATATATGCATTATATCTTTACCTAGACATGTATTTCATAATAATAAAATAAATGAAACTTTTTTAAAAAAGCGTAAAATTTTGTACTATATAATATAAACAAACCAATGCATAATTAGCATGACTGTGAGGGAGCCACCAGACTGTTTTATATAAGTTGATATACTGTAATCCCATAACTATAATTCCAAACACATAAACCATAGCCTCAAATGACAAGTTGCTGTCAGAAGGGATGTCTGGAAGGTGACAGTGCTTTGGAAGCACAGCCATTGATGCCAATGGGACCATGTTCGGCTCTCGTTCTTCACTGAAATGACAACATTGCACATATGAAGATAAATCTGATTGTTAAAAAAATGTTAACAATTAAATTTTTTATGAATTCAAGATATTGATATATATACATATATCAAATGACAACAAAGTGATTTTTTTTTATGAAAGATGTTGATATATATATATCAAAGTGAAATAATGTAGATTGCATTATAACAAGCTGTTGTTACTTCTTGCTTGAGGAAACATCTTGCTAACTTCTGTGCACTCATTTTTCTTGAAAGTGTAGTAAAAACTATTACAAATAGTCATGTTATTAATCATAAAGGTGAATAGATATAAAAATTAACAGATCACCATGTTTTCTTCAATTTTTCTGAAAGGAAGATTAAAATATGCTAGCTCAACAGGTTGCGAACAGTCACCAAAATGGTTAACATATCTCTTAATATCCAAGTGTTTATTTATGATATGAGAAATAGGAAGATATAGAATTTCCGAGAGATCAATCTAGCAGCTTACTCAGTCTCAGGAAAAGTCACTTACCAAATGTACTATTGATCTAAACAAATGGGCTTCTCAAAATTTTCACTAAAAATAAAAAATTCTTATTTTTTGCAATGTAAAATCATATCGAATTTGGGCTACCGGTTATACAAAATTTTAAATTCTTATCCTTACCACTTAATAAAATAGGGATAAGAATAAATCTTCCTGATGTTTAAATACTTAGCTTTTAAAACAAAATTAACAGTTTTGCAGTTTCAACTTTCTTCATGGTTAAAATGTATCACTTGTCTTCCTGTTACATTGTAAACACAAATTGATGTCCTGTTATGCTTTATACTATTAAAGTTAGGAAAGCTTTTCCAACAGGTAAAGATTAGCCAGAAAAAGCTTTTCCAACAGTTATTGATAAGGCAGGAAACCTAATTTAAAGACATTTTGATCTCTCATATGAATGAATTAACTTCATATGAAGATATAACATAGTGTGAGGCATGTCTGAAAAGAGAGGAAAATTGGTGCATTTAATTTAAAACTGGTAACAAAATGGATCGAAAAAGTACCAGTTGTTAAGGTAGACTGTTTTCAAAATTTTAACGGATTCTGAAAGGCAAATAGATCTTGTTTACATTCTTACCTGAATAAAAATTAAAAGGGCTTGATACATGAATGGGATTCTGTGGGCAGCAAAAGAAGATAATCTCTCCAGATTCGAATCCCAAAAGGGATTATTACTCAAGAGGCTAAAATGCAATGGCTCTTCAAATGGAAGTTATGAATATTTCAAGTTGAATTTAATGTTTGTGCCATGGAAATAACATTTCTACCATTGCAAGTACAAATTATATTCGTCATGTTCATAACAACAAAACAAAAAAAATATCAAACTTTAAAGACAAAGTCACCAATCTGTTAATTACTGTAGAAACCAATTGCTGTTCAATTCGTATCCTTATATTGCTAAATGAAGCAGCAGTTAATGAGAGACATTGGTGAAGATTATCCCCACTTAATTACAGGTGGCGCTGTGGTAGATCAGGTCCAACAACATCTGTTTGCATGATAAGGAAGCCAGCATGCTTTCATTGGCACATGATACACAAATATGTGTATGCTGATACTTAAGCCTTAATCATAATAAATTCTTTTGTTTCATTTTTATCTTATTCACTATTTAATATATTAGTGATACAAATGTGTCAAATTTTGGAAATTGAGATAGTTTTTTAACATATTTCCAATTATAAATATTAATGCATGTGTCTTTCTTCGTTAAAAAAAATAAATATGGAAGAGTTTTTAGATACATGTATATATATTTATGAATAAATAATAATAATTAAATTTATTTACAAAAACATTCAAATATATTACGAGTTTTTTATTTGTGTTATTCCTTAAATAAACTTCACAAAATGTAAAACAGGAAAAAGACAACATACATTATATATATGACAAATTAAAAACCAGCAAAATCTATCTTTAAATGCAAAATGTGATGGGTTTTTCAACAACATACTTTTTCAAATTTATTATTCTTAAATAAAAATAATATGACAGAAAGAAGAATTTAATAAATGACTTTGCACATTTTACATCAAAATCAATAGAGGTATATCTGGAATCAATGGGGGTAAATACTGGGCAATAAACAGCTAAGCAATCGATTGTACAATAGATTTCTGAAATACTTGCGACTGGGGACCGAAATTGAATCATTTCTTTGTCAAATTAAAGAGTCATACCAAAATGAAGCCGCGGAACCGTAACTCTCATGGTCCTTATTATATATCTTTTTGAGTTTGCAGACCTCTTTGGTCAGCAAATTGTCAAAAAATATCAGAAGGACCTAAATGCTATGGTTCCGCAGCTAACTGAAATGAAAGGAGAAATCATCTACAAAGTTAATATTTACATAAATAAAGATCTTGTTATTATAGAGTCCCAGTGTAACTGTTTTGCAAGTATATTGGCCCAACAGCTCATTGTAAACAATTTAGCATGTTTGTGCAGTTCTCTTTGACCTGATACAGTTTTCCTGTTTAAAGGAGTTGAGTCAGTAAGAAAGCAAGAAACCATTAAATGTGGAATATTTGTGTCAAAGTCACTTCCTTTTCTTGGTGCTTCATCAGCTAGGTGGATTAATGGAAAACAATTTTAGCAATCAAATGCCCAAATATGTAACATCCCAAAATGAACTATTAACACCTAAATCTGTTCTTTACTTGTCTGAGGTAAATGGGTAAAAAAAAAAAAATCTGACCTACCGACCCTTTTTTTTTCACCATGTGACAGTTAACCACATTCTAGGTTTTCACTAGGATATGTTTATGGTGATTCCTAGGACTCATCACTTTTTGAAAAGGTGAGTCCCAGCCAAATCTGATGAGTCCCAGTAAATTTTGACTAGTCCATAGTATGTCCTGTTGTTTTAATATGAAAAGACTTATTTGGCTTATTGACTAATTGAGCTTCCTCAAAATCATTGGACTGATTTTTCAAAAACATGAACATCAGGGGTCAACAATAACAGCTGTCCGATTGCCGGGACAAGTGAAAGTCATAATCGAGCAAGTTATAGCTGCACTGTACTTGTCCGATTGGCAAGTAAAAATTAAAAGTTAAAAACGGTGAAAATTCTGAATCTATGTTTTCATTAATATAAATCATATCAACCAGCTAAGACAATATCAACGTATTTTCTAACAATATGAACTATAGACATTTTAAAAATATTGGCCTATCAGAGTATGATTTTGTTGTTGACGCCAAACAGATCAGACCTACATGTAGCTATATTTCTCTTCCTCAACGTTCAGCACTATTTCTTTTCAGTATGTCAAAATATTCTAGAGCCGCATCAGAGCATAAATTCCAGGGTAAGCACAGAGGTCGGGAAAAATTGTTTTGTTCCCAGTTTTTCATTGAAGAGACAGCACATTACGTCTAAAATAAAATTCCTGAGCTCCAGACAAATTAGTCATGGCAAATTAGACAGCAAACCTTAAACACAGAAAACAACAAAAACATCATGTTATGACTCAAACCAAATCGAATTCCTGAAGTGAAATTGTAATTTTATTGAGTAATAATGACTTATATCTCAAAATTATATACTTTAATCTATACTACTAAACATGCTAAAGGAAGAGACCGATTTCATTGAGCCGCAACTCCTCTGAAACCATACAAAGTCGGAAATATTTGTGATATGACGTATTAATGTAGTGTTTTGTACTTCCTAAATTTGTCTTTGAAACAATCTTTTTTCCACAGAAAACACCAATTTTTGAGAAAATATCCAAATTCAGAGACTGTTATCGATCCATGTCTTATATGCTTTCGCACATGCTCAGTCGACGTACTGCCCGCGAAATCCAATTGAATTTAATAAGAATAAAGGATAGAAAATAGTAGTTAGGCCTATAAGGATCCTGTACTGTATTGTAAGTGCATCATTTTGCTAAATAAAACGACATCCACCCATTTTACTCAGGTGTAGAACTGTCCAAAAACAAAATGGGAGTTGAACGTGTCGAAGTGATCCTCCCCCCTTTTTATGTGTAAACACAGGCACACGATGTCCGGAACCCCTCCCCCCTTTTTATGTGTAAACACAGGCACTGTTGACACTCTTTGTATCAACACTTGCCCAATTGTACCGCGATTTTGCTGGCATCTTCTAGTATCTATAAAACTAAAAGAAGTATGTCACAACATATAATAAAGTTTTCGGGCAACATATATCGGTTCTCATGTCAATATTCGGTTCTTGGGAGTTCTCTGGAAATCGTGGTACCGGATTCCTCGATTAGAATTACAAACTAACATCAAAACAATTAACAAAAAAACAAAAAAAATTTTGATAGGAGTGAACATTTTAGCTATAGTGGTTTTATTTATTACCCTCCGTTACTATTCTTATGTCCACTATTTTGATAGGACGCGGACTGTATCCTTGATAAAATTCTTCGACATGCAGGCATGATACAAACGTGTCTCCATATGTTTTCTTTTCCAATTTGTTTTTGTGAATAAGAAATGGCGAAAGCCAAAACGGAAACAACAATTCTAAAATCTAAATCATTTAGGGAATGAACCCGAATTAAATTGCCGAATTTATAACGTACAGTTATATATTTGATGCTAAATATGGATAGTGAATTTACAAAATTAAATAACAAGAAGCACATGAAGATATTCTTTTGATCAAAATGTTATTGGATTCTTTATTTCTCCCAATTTTATTATTTTCCGGGACTCGTACACAGCCGTCACCAGCCAATAGAAATTGTTTAGAGTTGTTTTGGGTGTTTCCGGCAATTTATTTTTATTTTTTATTCTACACAAAATGATTTGTAACTGATCATGGCTGACAATTCCTCCAAGGAAGGCTTTTATAAAAACGAAAGTGTCGTTCCCGAACAAACTACTGCAGGTTTAATTCAAGAGACTAGCACAAACGAAGGTAAATAAAACTGTCATTCTATTATCCTGTTATCCAACAAATAAATTCTGGTCTTCTGTGTGCAAAGTAGTGGCGTATATCAGTCAGGGGACTTACTTAAATGAGTGATTTTCTAAATCACTGATTCAAGTAACACTATGTCCATAAAGGTTGGAAGTAAGAGTTGTCTTTCTTCATAATCACCTATTTAAGTAGTACAAATTAATCACTAGACTAAGTGATTTAATTTTATTGTAGCTTTAAATATAGAATACTAGCCTCACTGGACACAATTACGAACAATTTTTGAACTGTGATTAATATTTTTTTATGTAGACTACTTTTCTGGAATTGTTTATTCCATATAATTTAAGATGTATGGAGGCTTTCCATTTTGCATCATATCCCACATAATTTTCTATTCACGTTAGGATATATACTTGTAAGATTTGCTTGACCTGGTTTTACGGGTCAAGTGAGCCAAATATGGACGCAATTCCGAACAGCGCTATATTAATATATCTTGTAGAAGAAAACAATGACAACAGTCTAGATTGATAAAACATACATAAATCTAATCTCAAACACATTTCCAGAGGAAAATAAGATGTGCAAGTTTGTATTTTACTTCAAATACTTCAGCAGTGGTTGCAGACGAAATGTCTCGTATGTGTAAAGGAAAGATTTCGGAATTGTTTTGTTTTTATGTAAGTTCCTCCATTTAAGGAGCACTAAATTCAAGTTTCTCCATTTTGTTGGTGAACCTATCATTCATCTATGATTTTTTTTATATAGGTCAACATTTCATTTGGAGTTCTCTGGACTTTTCAATAAAGTTACCGTATTTTCTTTTGACAATAAATAGGTTCACAAGAGTCGAAAAAAATGTCAATTTTGGGGTTATTTGGGCAAGATAAAAGGCATCACGCATACGAACAGAATCAGGAGATATTTTTCCTTCTATATATTAACAAAAGAAGGCAAGATGCACTTACCTTAATGTTTATTTTAATATAATTTCCAGGCGAGAGTGTCGTCCATTTAATATTTTCAGAATGATTTTGTCATCGTCATCAACATTCACCAAGTGCACATGAATTGTATTATCATGAAAACAAGGGAATTTTAATAGGGTTTTTATACATAGAAACATTTATTAATTTTCATAAATGAATATGATTTCAGAGGACAAACATTTGAAATCGTTTGTAATTGTGTCCAGTCGTAATTACGTCCGGTGGGGCTAATGATCCAGGGACTAATTATGTTGCTAAAATTATCAGAACCAACATCTGTGTTGATAAGATGACCGGGTCATGTCAGGTGATGACCTTGTACTAAATCTAGGATAATGACATAAAAATCACTTCTTTTAGTATCATTATTTTAATAACCCCCACTAATTTCAACAACCCCGAACAGTGAAATTTTGATCGCGAACAGTAGAATTTTATTACATAATCTATAAGATGAAACCTTGAATTTTACAGGAAATATACTCCCACTGCTGGCAAAAATCTGTTAAGAAAGGATCAGTTCATTATGTAAAGCCATTTTTATAGCATTTTTTCAACTAAAATAGAATTTGCAGCTAAATGATTGCATCAAAGGCATAAACCTTGCTGCTTAAAAGAAGCAAAAAGTTCATTTTTTCAATTTTACTAAACCTATGTGTTTAAAATTTTGGTAAAACTACAAAATCACAATTTGAGACAAAACTTCCAATTTGGTTCTTAAATAAGCGATTTAAAAATCACTTATTTCAATAAGTCCCCTGACTGTATATCCATTTAGGGAGCTACCATTTGATTTTGATTTGGGGGGGGGGGGGGGGGGCTAGGATGAAATTTGAAAATATAGGCAGGACAGGAGTTTTGAGTAAAAAGAAAAAGGCAGGATGAGACACTTGCAAAAAAAAAAAAAGTCAGGATGACAATTTAGGTAAAAAAAAAGTCAGGATAAACTTTAAAAAAAAAGGCAGGACTGAATAGAGTGAAAAATAAAAAGGCAGGACAGAGATTACAACTAGAAAAAAATGCAGGACAAAATTTTCATCCTACCCCCCACCATAAAAATCAAATGGTAGCTCCCTTATTCAGTGATACAACCCTCTCACAAGAATCTGTTGTCCCTAGTATTTAATTAAAAATGCATGAATATTAATGGTTTTTAGCATACAAATCCTGGGTTGTATGCACATATTTACATCTGCTAAGTATAGATTGCTCTTTGGTAATCTTGACACTTGACCTGAGAATCTGTGAAAGAGAGGTGAAAACAATGCAATGGCAAAAAATGATGAACGACCAAAAGACAAACAGTTTACAAAACACAATATAGAAAACTAAAGACTGTCAGAGCAACACAAACCCTGCCAAAAACCATGGAGTGAGATCAGGTGCTCCAGAAGATTAAGTATATCCTGACACTTGAACTGTTGACACAGAGGCGGATTAAGGGGGGGATGATAAATACATAGATTTTTTTAAGTATCTGTCCAAATGTTGGATACCGGTAACTGGAAGCAAGTCAACTCGAAACATTGCAAACCTGTACCACGTCAACTTGTACCAATGTAAACTCGTACCACTGCCAAATTGTACCATTGCGAACTCATACCACTGCAAACTCGTACTATTAAAAATATACCAAATATATGCAATGTCACATGAATGTTTTTGCAAATCTTTATAAAATATTAATGGAATTTCCTGAATTTTAGATTGAAAAAATATACAATTTACGAATGTTATATGTTATTACATGTATGCCTACTAGTCAAGATACAATTAGATACAACACTAAAACCGTTACACAGCTCATGCTAGCCTGTGACTGATTGACCATAAATGCCAAATGTAGTAAAGTAGACTTCCGTTGGTTTTCCCATTTGACTGGTTTTACACTAGTAATTTTTGGGGCCCTTTATAGCTTACTGGTTGGTGTGAGCCAAGGCTCCGTGTTGAAGACCGTACTTTGACCTATAATGGTTTATTTTTATAAATTTTGACTTGGATGGAGAGTTGTCTCATTGGCACTCATACCACATCTTCTTATATCTATTCCAAATACCTCGGAATGGAACAACTGTCAGACTGTAAAGATTATATATTTTTTGTACATAAATTTCAAACTTTCTAATTTTGGTTCTCAACAATTTTAAACTTTTCAAAACAAAACAAAATAAATAAATTCTCTAAATAAATAAATTTCCTTAAGAAACAATTTATAAATACCAAAATCTATTTAATTTAACTACTTTGTAATAATTAAACATTAAATCAAACAATTATCAGTCATGTCAGTAAAAGTTAAATAATAGAACTGTTCAAGGGAGACAACAAAGTCAATCTGCTACAGTTTTCTTCATCCAATTAGGCAAGGAACAATCCGCTACAAATTGGTCATTGTGATTTTGAATTAGGGGTATATACTCTTTACCATGTTTACAGACTTATGACATGTATGAGTTATTTAGTGAAATTTGAATATTTACTCATCATTTAACACCATTTGAATGCATTTAAATAAGTTAATACAAGTTTGCAATGGTACGAATTTACTGTGGTACGAGTTTGCTTTGAATGGTACAAGTTGACATTGGTACAAGTTTGCAATGGTACGAGATAACTATAGTTTGGCTAACTAGAGTGCCACATTTTTTTCAAACTCCAGAATTTGCATGTGTAAGGTCATACAACAATCACTTTTCCTTTGTAGAGTCAGATATTTTGTATTATAATGTGGAAATTTAAGGAACCTTTGTGATGTCCAGTAAAGGTAAACAAATAAATAGCAATAAGTCTTAAAGCTATTTGCATTCATTTATAAACAATTGATCGCATGTGCAATAACTGTTGATTGTTATTTACATTGCTGATTAGTTATTACAAATGTACCATGATTACCATTATATCTTTGATCTCTATAATTGTTTTAATATGCTCACTTTTAGAACTGTCTATCATGTCTATTTAGGTCTGTATACACGGTACTATGGACTTGAAAAACCCTTCAACAAGATGAAACCTCTTTTTGTTATTCAGAATTTTTGGTAAGACATTGTTGGGTAAGGTTGAATACAAATCAATAAGGAGTGGTACTACAAAGCATAGTTACTCTCATCTTTGTCAGTTTGACTCTTGTGGATAGTTGTCTCGTTGGCAATAATAACATGTCAACTTATATTTATATAGATACTTTTGGCTGTTTTGTATTGTTGGGTAGCTGTCTCACTAATGTATACCTAACATATGGTTTTATTCATACATGTAGACACATTGCATTTGTTATTATTATTATAATATATTTTCTTTTTCAGTAACCCTTTACATTTACATTTATATTTTACAGATAATGATATAGATTTGCTGTGTGCTGTTGTATTTATAGAAGATGCTGCCAAGGTAATTTATAAGTTAAACAGAGTGGCCTATAAAAGGTCCTGACATGAGAAATATGTAACAATTCAATTTAGAAAACTAATGGCCTATTTCATAGCAAAACAATTTACGAAAAACAAATATGACAGACATAAACCAATGACAACCACTGAACTACATGAACTACAGGCTCCTGACTTAAGACAGGACAACCACTGAACTACAGGCTCCTGACTTAAGACAGGAACATATAGAATGGGTTAAATATGTTTGAAGGTGCCAACTCTCCCACTAACCTGGGACAGTGGTGTAACAATAACACAAGAACAAACTATAAAATCAGTTGAAAAGGGCTTGAGTCATCAGATCAATACAAAGCAGAAAAGCATCTAACAAAATCACAGATCGGACGTAGCAGGGTATTTTTACATCCCTAAAAACACAAAAAACTGAAGAGATTTTCAAACATCATACTTTATGTTTTATAACTAAAACTACATAAACATTACATTTTTGAAAATCTGTATGTTTTTTATATTAGACATTTATGTTGGACCATCTTATTTGTTAGTAACTTTGTATGTCCTTCATGATTTTTATTCCAGTATATTATATTCAATGAATATTACTAACAACTGCTAACTCCTGTATATATTAATATCAGTACTAATGTTAACGAGGCCGGGATGAGGTTTTTTTTTTGCAATTAAGGACATGCTAAAGGCGAGCGAGGTTTGCAACATATCTCCAAAGCATTAAAAATGTGACTTAATATGATTATTATTTTAACTTACATGATCCCCATCCTTGAGGGCTAATCATGATGATCCTTGCAATACTATTACTTAAGAAAATATTTCAAAATAATATTATACAATTTTTATTTACCATTTAAAAAGTTCATTTGTATATATCCAGGAGAAAACTTATGATATTTATAAAATTTGCTTTTTCAGTACAGAGACATAAGTCATAAACTGGACAAAAAGACTTTATTATGGTATAGATGGTACCATTCAAAACCTGTCAGAGTGTAGGTATAGTATTTATGTTATAAAAATAACCAGAGTTCAAATGATGTCGATATAAGCAATTATAGGTCACCCTACAACCTTCAATAATGAGAAAAACCGGTACCCTAGAGTCAGCTAGAAAAGGCCCTGACATGAAAAATGTGAAATAATTCAAACAGGAAAACTTATTACAGCCTTTTTTTATTGCACATGTAGCAATACAATTAACAAAAAACAAATTAACAGACATGAACTAAGGGCAACCATGAAATAACAGACTCCTGACTTTGGACAGGCACATAAAGAATGTGCCCAGGTTTAACATGTTTGTGAGCGCTCAACCATCCCTCTACCCTTGGACTGTGGTGTAACAGCACAACATGAGAACAAACTGTAAAAATCAGCATATTTACTGCATGCACTTTTTTGGGTAAAGATTGCATTCATATATACAATCAAAACTCTTATGTGGCTGGCTCGATAGTTATCAATTTTCCAGATTTTATGACTACTTTTTATAAACACAAAACATAGTGAAAACAATCTACATCCTAAATATGAAAATTTCAAAAAGTTGATCAATGATATATACATGTATACTCAAATACTGAAGTTACAAAATGGTGTGTATTTGTTATACCATACTTGTCAAGAAAATTACATGAATTGTGCATGGTACATGAATCTAGTAACTGTTCTAAAAATATCAATGATGTCATTGTTAAAGTAATATTTAAAATTGGACTTCATCCTTCATACATAATTGCAGTTGAAACAACTACAATTGTGTGTGCCTTCCAAAGCTTAATATATTGCAATGGTGTTTTTTTTATTCCACTGCAAAATGAATGCAATCTTTGCCCTTCAGTGCTCACAAGCACTTTGATTTTAAAGAGAATTGAAAAGAATTGATAAAGGGGAAAAAATGGTCCACTGGAAATTCTCATGAAGAATTATTTTTAGGAAAAAACACATTTTCTGGGAGAAAAATGAGGAAATATGATTATGTTATTAAAAAAATTAGCAAACACCATACCTTCAATGATGAGCAAGAACTAACACCACAGAGCAAGGTTTAAGTGGACAAACTTTTTACTACTAAGAAAATATGAAAAAAGTTAACCAAAGATCTCTTACAGAAACATCTTGTAAATAGAATAAATATCATTGAGACAGATAATTATTCTGTGGAGGCTCATATATTCTTGATTTTGAAACCATTAATTTAATCATAGAAATTTAATGTCAGCAGTAAGAAAAATATTACATTAATTTTTAAATACGATACTCTGGATTTATGGAACTTTTTAAAAGAGTTAAACTTTCAATAAAATTTAACTTTTCTGAAGGCTAAAATATATTTTTGTATTTTCGTGTTTAATAAGTTGCCAAGAGAAAAGAACAAGAGGTAATTATAGTATTTGGTATTGTTTATGCATTTTTCAGGAGTTTCTATTTTGTTATATTTGTTCTACATATTTTGGCATTCTTTGAATACCCCTCTTCATTGACATGGACATCTGACATACGGAACAGAGGAAACAGAATAGCAGTGCCATGTGGGATAACAGAAGGAATAGAAATGATATGTTTTTTACTTATAGCAGCTGATCTTATTTTGAAGGTAGGTAAACAAGTAAATCTAAGTATAAAACACATTGACACACATGGCAGAAAAAAATACTGAATAAATTTAGCATCAAACAGAGCAAGTCAAGGTGCATGGATGAATTAAGCATGTCTTGCTTTGCATGCATATCCTGTCACATGATTCAAAAGTCACAACAGTGCCAAAGCTAGATTGACAAAGAGAACATGTGGGAACCATATGTCTATAAACTGATATCAAACTTGGTTTGATAATAATGACTTATGGGATGAAATGAAGAAGACTCCTGTTGGTTTTGAGGTCAAGGTCAAGGCCGCAAGTTATAAACTGATTTTGGCCAAAACTTTTGTGTCCTTCAACATCTTTTGAACCACATGTTCAACTTTCACCTAATAGCTTGAAAATGCTGCTTGGAAAGAAAAATTTAATATATATCAGTATGTCAAGGTCACCGTGTCTATAAGTAAATTAAGATTTTTGGAAAAGATTGTTTCCAGACAATACATGCATCTTTCAGCTAATAATTAGAGATCTTTTCAAAGCTTTGGTAGATAAATTGCTTTGAAGTGAAAAAAAACCTTCTTAAAACTTTTGAAAGAAGGATAAAAACTTTCCCATAATGATATGATTTAGAAAAAAGAAGATGTTTTACATGTGTTCTATATTCCACAAAAATTGATAAGATAACAAATTTTGCCTATACAAATTTCCCAAAATTATAGACAGAAATTCAGAATTTTGTTTATATTTTTGTGGAAAAAGCTTCATCCAGCACATCTTAGACTTCTATGAAAATAACCAGCCTAGAATCAGAACGAAATTTTATGTTTATAATATTAATTTTAAATTTATTTTGTGAACACTTTGTTCTTTTTTTTGCATTTATTGATAAGAGATTCGTAAGGTGGAAGGAAAACACAATTTTCAATGTTCACTTTGGTATTAGCATGATTAGAAATGGTTTTGGATACCTGCCATTAAAACAATGTTGTTCTTTATATTTCAGTATAAATTGATAGGCAGATCAGAGTTTATAAAGAAGAAATGGTTATGGGCTTCCAGCATTATACTAATTTTATCTTTGATAGACTGGTTTATAACTATTGGATTTTCTTGTAAAGAGGTAACTTATTAACTCTCTTGTTTTCAATAGGAGGGTCACTTTATAGTATATGGGGCCTGACAAATATCTACCAGAATGGAGCCCAAAACCTACTGGCTGCAATAATTATGAGGATAGGTATGATTTGTTCTGAGGTTGGAATCCTTGTGTCCTTTTAACAGTACTAGTAATATATGTAGTTTCATTTTCAAGTTGACCTAGTAAGTAAGAAAACACACAGTTTTCAATGATTCTGCAGTGCTATCAAAATCAATTACTATCTTGTTTTGGGTATACCAAATATTTAGTGATGCAATAGCTTGCATTTTTAAATTGATGTCATGTCAATGTCAAAAATAGTGTTATTCTATTAAAGTAAACAACTTGTTTTGGTGACAAAAATTAAACCAAAATGGACTGTTTTATAAGGTTAATAAAATTTTGGGTCTTTAATATAGGTTGTTGTCACTTGACCTTTTGACGTAAATATATATATTTCGGTACTTTTGATCTCTTAGTTAGAATTTCAAGTCTCTGACCATTTATATTTTGTCCAGGAACTATATCTTTTACCTTTCAAATTATGCTTCTGTCAAAATATAAATTATAAATATATGTTTTTATGAAAATGAGTACCACATGGCCATCCATTGGTCCATTATGTTTTTAAAGTAAATAGATAAAAACAATAACTCTTAGAGTATTAATGTTGATTTACAGTTTGTGTGTTAATTGGGAAACCAAGAAGTAAATTATTTTAATGTCCCTTATTGTTTGCAATGCAAACAGACTGCAAAAGTTGACAATGAACACAAGGACAAAACATAGTTAAGTAGAAGGGCCATGTGTTTACAGTATACTGGAAATTACAGTTTTACTTTAACTTTATTTTGTATGCATTTTTCTTACATCCTTCATATTTTCATAAAGTAACCTACTTAATGTCACTGGTGTTCCATTATTTGGATGAAGACTGCATACCCACATGGATTAATTTTTAGTATTTTATAGGAAGTAAATGCTTCTGACAAATCTGTATAGACGGGTTACTGAGTAAAAGTTTAGCAAAAAATATTTTTAGTTTTATATTTTATATTTCAAAAATAAACTATTCTTCTAAACATGACAATAAATAAATTATTGTAACAAAGAAAAAACCACTAGGTGCAAGTTTTCTCATCAAAAATCATATAAAGATTTAAACATCTGAAATTTTAAAATTAAAGATTTTTTTATTCAAATATTTGTTGCTTTACATTATTTACTCAGTATATATGGGAAATCATACCAAATTTCCATAATTATTGTGTTATACTAGAATTGGAGATAATGACATATGTTGATGATATTTCAGGTTGTCAGATACAGAAGAATACTCAGGCCAGTTTTTATCCTTAGTAATTCTCAACTAATGAAGAAAACTGTAAAATGTGTACAGAAAACACTACCAGAAGTTATAACGTAAGACGTTACTTTACAGATTCTTATTCATATCTATAGTGAAAAAAGAAAGCAAGAAGTATTGGGAACTCAGAATTTTGTATGCAATTTTTAATGTGACTGTTGAACAATGAACAAAAATGTGAATATTGATTATTGCGATTTCAGGAAATGCTGCATACAATTATTGAAAATTATTATTTTTGTGAAACCTATCAAGTAGCAATTTTAACATTAAAAAAAAACATCGCAAAAGTTCTGAATTTACAGTAAATTTACACATGGAAATATCCAAAGTTATTAGAAAAAATATATGAGATAGCAATTAAAAGTCAGAAGGTTGCTTTCCATATCAGCAATTTTGCAATAGTTTAGAGTAAAACGCTGACAGTCAAGTCACAGTAAGATACTACAGAAGGCTTTACCAGTAGATATAAATGTTAATATTAATGCACTGATTCACCAATTTCATTAAATATAATAATTGTATGTAGATATTTCAGTCAATTGCAATTGAATTATTAAAGGCCTGTTGTTTAGTGATGTTTCAGATTTAAACATATGAGGGAATGGAAGGCACTTAAATTAATAAGTGGTGGATGGTTGCATTTTCTTTAGAATTTTGTAAAAATTATAAGTAAAAGGAAAATTTTATATTATTTGTGGTTGGGGTCTAAAAAAGTCCAACCATCCCACCATGTGGAACAGCCTTCATATATCATTTCACACGAATCTATTAGTTGAAAATCTGAATATGTTATTTTATGTTATTATTAGGACATGTATCATGTATTATCATTATTATAATTATTATTTAAAGCTTTCTTTACCTTTTCTTTTCAGAATTTTATTGCTTTTATTTATACATCTCTACATTTTTACATTGCTGGGAATGCTGTTATTCCCCAAACCTCAGGTAAATATTTTTATTAAATGTCCTCAAAATCATTTTAAAAACCTACAAATGTTGAGTATCAATAAATATTCTAAATTAGAAAGTAAAAATTTCTGCATCTTAAAAATGTAAAACTTTTGAGTCTGATAATTACTCACTGCTTTTGATTCAAGTATGACTCGACGATAAAATCACCCTACATCCTTAAGATTGAAATGAAAATTCATTGTCTCGTCTTTACGTTGGCAGCTGTTGTCTTGACCAGAAGTTAAAACTGTTTCCCTACATCAGTTACTTAATGAAGCATTTTGAAAAATGATGTGTTACCGAAAAACATATTAACATTAGGCAATCAAACCGAGTAATCAACTAACATGACCAAAAGGACATTCCATTTACATAAGAATTACAGTGTTCCAAACTCTTAGAAAAGATGTTAGAAAAAACATATGAATATGAATTTAAAATTTTGTAAAAAGTAATGCCAAATTTTTAATTAATTTTTTCTCCTACAGTCATTTATTCCAATGCACAACCAGACAGAACATTTTATCAATGGTAATTCAAGTAGTAATTCTTCTACTGATAGTAACGTGGTAAGTAACTGGTAACTTAATGATTACTATAACTAGTACCTCTTCTGACGGTGTTCTTTATGTACCAGTAAAAAACAAATTTATATTATCAACTATTTTTATTATGTGAATGATTTCACTACATAATACATGAAAACAGATAAAAGTCATTAAAATTGAGAATGGAAATGGGGAATGTGTCAAAGAGACAACAACCTGATCAAAGAGCAGAAAACAGCCCAAGGCCATCAATGGGTTGCCATACATACCACACAGTACAACCAACCACACTAACACCTGACTTCACACAAAAAAGAATTACAAACGAAAACAAAAACAACTAATTACACATGGTCAAGATATTCTGATTTGTAACATTTGGAGGGATTAAAACAGTTTTATGTGCACACAAACCACCCGATTTGCCTATCTGAACCATATATTAAATAACTAAGACACATATTAATAAAAACCTGCACAGTGCAGCCAACAACAGGATGACAACTAACTTTAACAAGGAAATAAAAATAATTACCTATCTAGATCCTATCTCTTACAACTAAAACACAATAAAAAAACCTACACACAACAGATAATAACAGGATGACCACTTTCTTGAACAAGGAAATCAAAAACAGCACATACATTTAAAATCAATGTCAAAATGTGCTCACTACTTAAGGAAGGTATCTAAGATAGCAACAGCTGTTGCTCAAGACACATATCATTTTATTTTCAAACAGACTGAAGAAGGAGATGAGTATTTCAAGACATTGCTGGAATCCTTCATGAGCCTGTTGGTGCTACTTACTACTGCAAACAATCCTGATGGTATGGTTATATGGAATAAATTATTATAATTGAATAAAGACGATTGCTGCTGATATTCAAAAATATAATATTTTCTTTAATATAAAAATGAGAAGATGTGTTATGATTGCCAATAAGACATCTATCCACCAAAGACCAAATGACAAGGATGTACACATTTTTATACATCATATATTACATGTACTTAAAAAGAATAACATAAACTTTTTGAAGTATTGAACAATTGAACAGATCGCATCAACTTAAACACAAGATTCCTCCAAGAAAATAGATGTATAAACTAAGGTTAACAACAACAAGTAACACATGGTCCAGATAGCAGGATTTGGTATAGATACAAAATGTTTTGTTGTAAAACATTTTTCCTGTGCATAATCTATCTTGATCACATGTCATAAAACCAATGTCTATGACATCAAATTAAAATTACTTATAGATATTTCTTAAATATAAACCACATGTTGATTAAATTTCTCTTGTGTAATTTCCTGCCATATCCGTTCAGAACATTGCACTAAGCATTTTCTATTTAATCATTAGAGAAACAGATTTTACCATTTTTATATGCCCGTCAAATTTTTGACGGGACGTATTATGGTATACAAATGTCAGGCGTCCGTCCGTCTGTCTGTCCGTCCGTCTGTCTGTCAGGCGTAAACATGTCGCACCGTAACTTGAGAATGACTTATCCAAATTTCATGAAACTTAACATAGTTGTTTCTTATGATGGTCAAACGATCTGTATACTTTTGGGTGAAAATAAGATTAAAACTTTTTGAGTTACGGGACTTAGTAACTAAAACAGGTGTGTGTTTTTTTTCACATGTCGCGCCGTATCTCAAAAACAATTTATGATTATTGCTTAAAACTTTACACACTTCTTAGTTATATTAATCTTAAGATCTGTATACTTTTTGGTGATGATTCAATATTTTATTTGAGAGATATTGAGTATTTTGTTAAAAAAAGGGGGAGGGGTTTTTCACATGTTGCGCCGTATCTCAAAAACAGTTTATGATTATTGCTTAAAACTTTACACACTTCTTAGTTATATTAACCTTAAGATCTGTATACTTTTTGGTGATGATTCAAAATTTTATTTTTGAGTTATTGAGTATTTTGTAAAAAAAGGGGGAGGGGTTTTTCACATGTCGCGCCGTATCTCAAAAACGATTTATGATTATTGCTTAAAATTTTACACACTTCTTAGTTATATTAATCTAAAGATCTGTATACTTTTTGGTTTTGATTCAAAATTTTATTTTAGAGATATTGAGTTTTTTTAAGAAAAAAAAAGGGGGTTTTCGCATGTCACGCCGTATGTCAGAAACTATTTATGCTTATTGCATAAAAATTCACACACAAAGACGGGCGTATCATGCGCTCATGGCGCAGCTGTTTATTATCTTGTTGACTACAATAGTTATCCACTCTCAATATTTAAGATTTTGAATTTTAAAATGCTCAGTAACCCTGACATGTTCAAACTTTAGAAGTAAGGAGGCTCTTTGATAAAAATTATAATGGTAGAGGAGGGTTTTAGTCCCCTGGTGTATTTATTTTGGAATAAGAAATAATGAAAATTGAAATATGTAAGTGAAATATTTAAGGAGTAAACAAAAGTTACTATGAATGCTATTCTTTATTTCAGTGATGATGCCTGCCTATCAAGATAACAGACTTTTCTCTGTGTATTTTATTGTTTTTATGATTATTGGTAAGTTCTTAATTAAAAGATAATGTAATCCAACTTATTTTTTTTTAATACTTCTCTGCAATTTATTTTCACTATTTCCCAATGTTCCTTAATATGTATTTATATAAGGGAAGATCCAATTTTAAATAGTCACAACTATTTATATTCGTCTTATTTTTCTACTTGCAAATGTCATGAAAAAAAATGTAGCTAATTCTGCAAGTAATAGCAATATCAGTGAAGATAGTTAAAAGATTATTGATAAAAGATGTCATCTATTTATGATTTACAAGTATCCAATATTATAACTAATGGTCAATTTTAAAAAAAAAGAGTGAGAAGATACCAAGGATCTCGTACCAAGGGGGTGGCAACTTAAAATCATTAGTTGAATAAAAAAAAGACAACACAATGACCAAAAAGAAAACTGACAAAACTCTACTCAGAAAACTAAAGATTGAGAAACATGAAACACACTAAAACCTGAATGAACCCAGGTACTCTGTAAGGGTAAGCAGGGATATTAAAAGGTCAATGTCAGATATATATCAGATTTTTTGTATGAGGCTTAGAAATTGAGGGTGTAGAAAGCTAACTGAGACCTTTAACAATTTTGTTCCAAGTACAAAGTTAAAAATTCTCAGATATTGAACTTATATTTTGTTTTTTAACTGCTGCTGTAAAGATAAAAAAATTAGCCAACACAAAAATAAAATATTTTCCTTTTCCTAAATGAGCATGTTATTGTGAAGGTAAAGTGATTGACATGAAATTTGATTGACAAAAATATAACTTTGGTACTGCAATAGGAAACAAACAACAGGATCCTAGCAGCTTCTCTACAAAGCAGGTTCATTGATTGATAAATTAAACGATGAGTAGAATCTAGAAGATTGATTGCTGTTATAATAAGTACAAAATATATTATAGTTTGTACTTATTATGTATTTTATTTTTTACTTTCTCTATGAAACAGGTAACTACTGTTTTATGAATATGTTCCTAGCTGTGATATATAATCAATTCAGAGGATATTTTAAGGTATATATACATTGTTTATAGGTCTTCATTCCATTGCCAGAAAATTGAAATATTTTCCTGCACAATTTAAGTGCCATTTTAGCAGATTATAAAGTTATATGAAGTTAGCTTTGAACACAGTTATGATAAATTTGATGTCATAATCAATCAAAAAATCGAATCAAATCAAAGTTTTATTTATTGTCGATACATTACAAACAACATAACACAAGCTCTGGTGAGCTTTTAAAATCGACATTATAATACATTACACACAAACAAAATGACATGCAAACAAACACACATATCAAGACAAACGTACATATAATAAGACATAAGACAGCAAGCAGTCAAGCACATAAGCAAAATAAAATGATACTGTTCATGCAGATAAATTATAAAATCAAAGCAAACTAATTTAACATAAAAAGCAGCAAAAAAGCCAAGCTAAGCTCAGATCATAAAGCACTAATTGCATGCATTACATTGGCATGAGCTGCCATTCCAGGTCTATATTAAAATGAAAAAATTGAATTAAAGAAGTTTTCTGTTTGATGTGGTTTGGCAGCTCATTCCATAATTGTGCAGCACTATAACGGAACGATTTTAGTCCATATCTTGTAGTGTATACTCTGGGTATATCAGCTATATCCTTGGATCTAAAATTATAACGTTGAGTTTTGATATTTATTTATTAGGTAATAAATAAAAATTAAATACTCTTTTTGATAGAGTATGCTAAACACATAAATATCTAACAAAAACTGTTCTGACTTTAGCCAGTCACATGAACATGTTGCAGTTTCAAACTATTTTCTTTAACCTCAACCCCACTTGGAATCTCTTAACAGTAAAATTGGTTAATATCCCTAATGAGCCTCAAAGAGAGGAAACAATTATAATTTGTAAAACCAAATATCTTTCTGCTATGTTGCTATTTTTGATAATTGATCAATCTTAACCAGTTGTGCTGCTTTGAAGTGCTGAGGACCATAGAATAAAGAGTAAAACAATACTTTTACCAAGTTATCTTAATGATAGCCCAAAAAAATAGAATTTATCTAGATAAAAAAAACTCAATTCAACACATTTTAACAGAAAACATAAACATGCATTATAGTTCTTATAATTTTGCTAGTAAACATTATAAAAGACAAAATATGAATCAGTTGCCAACAAATAAAGAAATATTATCATTGAAAATTGTTTTATAATTAATTTAGAGTTCTATGCAAGCTAGTCTTCTGAGGAGAAGAGTGGGACTGAGAGCAGCATATGAAGTATTATTGAAGAATGAATTTCAGACAAGCAGTGTAATGCTTGAATCAAGGTACATATAACTGATAATACAAATAAAAAAGGACAAAGTTCACTTATGGCCAAATATAGAATTTCAGCTTAATCATAAAATACTAAAAGGCCACATTTTGGTTCTTAAATGGATCTATACCAAAAGCCTTAATGCTCGCTAAATAAATTTCTTCATAATAGTACATTTTAAGCCAGAGTCAGCAGATTTTGTAGAAATTGTCAAAATATGATGATTTTACGCATTTTTGAGTCCTGAAAGCTTTAGGAAAACCTTGGTTGCAACCTATGATAAAAAAATGTTCTTAACCAAAAGGTGCCAAATTTGATATTGAATCCCAAGACACAAAATCGTTTTGGATCACGGATTGCGGTCAAAGAAAATTTTGCTAAAAACTGTTATAAATTATGGAAAAAATGGACCAAAAACTGATGTTACAACACAAATAATGCACAGTTAAGGTGTTAACATGTCATAATTGTTAATGTGAGTTGCCAAAAAGAAATTATTTTGTATCAATAGTAATTATATTATAACCATTTCTATGTGAAATTTGTAGACTTTTTGCATGATTAAAAAACATTAAAATCTTAATGGCCAATTCTAGCGCTTAGTGAACTTTCTCCTTTATATATATGAACGTAAAATATATATTTAAATTTGTTTATGGAACTACAGTTGTAATAATCATCTAATTCAAAGAAAAGTTCATTTATTTTTTTTCATTTCTAATGATGTGACGATGACATTTTTAGCTCACCTGGCCCAAAGGGCCAAGTGAGCTTTTCTCATCACTTGGCGTCGTCGTCGTCGTCGTTAACTTTTACAAAAATCTTCTCCTCTGAAACTAATTGGCCAAATTAAACCTAACTTGGCCACAATCATTATTGGGGTATCTAGTTTAAAAAATGTGTCCGATGACCCGGCCAACCAACCAAGATGGCCGCCATGGCTAAAAATAGAACATAGGGGTAAAATGTAGATTTTGGCTTATATCTCTGTAACCAAAGCATTTAGAGCAAATCTGACAGGGGTAAAATTGTTTATCAGGTCAAGATCTATCTGCCCTGAAATTTTCAGATGAATCGGACAACCCGTTGTTGGGTTGCTGCCCCTAAATTGGTAATTTTAAGGAAATTTTGCCGTTTTTGGTTATTATCTTGAATATTATTATAGATAGAGATAAACTGTAAACAGCAATAATGTTCAGCAAAGTAAGATCTACAAATAAGTCAACTTGACCAAAATGGTCAGTTGACCCCTTAAGGAGTTATTGCCCTTTATAGTCAATTTTTAACAATTTTTCGTAAATTTTTGTAATCTTCTCCTCTGAAACTACTGAGACAAATTTAACCAAACTTGTCCACAATCATCATTAGGGTATCTAGTTTAAAAAATGTGTCCGATGACCCTGCCCGCGAACCAAGATGGCCGACATGACTAAAAAATAGTACATAGGGTAAAATGCAGTTTTTATACGACCGCAAAAATTAAAAATTTTTTGGTCGTATATTGGTATGACGTTGGCGTCGTCGTCGTCCGGCGTCGTCGTCGTCGTCTGGCGTCGTCCGGCGTCGTCCGAAGACACATTGGTTTTCGCACTCTAACTTTAGTTTAAGTGAATGGATCTCCATGAAATTTTACCATAAGGTTCAATACCACGAAAGGAAGGTTGGGATTGATTTTGGGGGTTATGGTACCAAAAGTTAAGGAATTAGGGGCCAAAAAGGGGCCAAAAATAAGCATTTTTGTAACTTCCAGACAATAACTTGTGTGTAAGTGTATGGATCTCTCTGAAATTGTACCACATGCTTCCATATCACAAAGGAAAGGCTGTAATTGATTTTGGGGGTAATTGCCTCAAAATTTTAGGAATTAGGGGCCAAAAAAGGGGCAAAAAACAAGCATTTTTCTAGTTTCATAACAATAACTTGTGTGTAAGTGTTTGGATATTTCTGAAATTGTACTACAAGGTTCCATATCACAAAGGGAAAGATGGAATTGAGTTTGGGGGTAATTGCCCGAAACGTTTAGGAATTGGGGGCCAAAAAGGGGCCAAAAATAAGCATTTTTCTAGTTTCCAGACAATAACTTGTGTTCAAGTGTATGGATCTCTCTGAAATTGTACTGCAATGTACCATACCACAAAGGGAAGGCTGGGATTGAGTTTGGGGGTGATGAATCATAAGGGGGTTCAAAAAATTTGGGGGGGGGATTTTTTTTTTCTCTTTTTTTTTCTTTTTTTCCTTTTTTTTTTCTTTTAAAATTTTCCATTTTAAGTTGGTTATTTCTGATTAATATTTAAAAGCAAATAATAATGATATGGTAGGAGATACACACCAAACAGGATGTGTAAATTATTATCTAATAAGTATTGTGCAATAGCAAGAAATTTTCAATTGCACAGTATTGCACAATAGCAAGAAATCTTCAATTGCACAGTATTGCGCAATAGCAAGAAATCTTCAATTGCACAGTATTGCGCAATAGCAAGAAATATCCAATAGCACAATATTGCGCAATAGCAAGAAATTGTCAATTGTACAGTATTGCGCAATAGCAAGAAATATTCAATTGCACAGTATTGTGCAAAAGAAGATACTTTGTATCAATTGCTTATTTCTTGATCAATTTCAATGGGGTTTTATTCTTGAATTCTTGGGGTTCTTTAATATGCTGAATCTAACCGTGTATTAAGTTTTTGGATTTTGGGCCCTGTTTTTAAATTGGTCCACATTGAGGTCCAAAGGGTCCAAAATTTAACTTTGTTTGATTTCATCAAAAATTGAATTATTGGGGTTCTTTGATATGCTGAATCTAACCGTGTATTTAGATTCTTAATTTTTGGTTCCGTTTTCAAATTGGTCTACATTAAGGTCCAAAGGGTCCAAAATTAAACTTAGTTTGATTTTAACAAAAATTGAATTTTTAGGGTTCTTTGATATGCTGAATCTAAACATGTATTTAGATTTTTGATTATGGGCCCAGTTTTCAAGTTGGTCCAAATCGGGGTCCAAAATTAAACTTTGTTTGATTTCAACAAAAATTGAATATATGGGGTTCTTTGATATGCTGAATCTAACCATGTATTTAGATTTTTGATTTTTGGGCCCTGTTATCAACTTTGTCCACATTGAGGTCAAAAGGGTCCAAAATTTAACTTTGTTTGATTTCATCAAAAATTGAATTATTGGGGTTCTTTGATATGCCGAATCTAACCGTGTATTTAGATTCTTAATTTTTGGTTCCGTTTCAAATTGGTCTACATTAAGGTCCAAAGGGTCCAAAATTAAACTTAGTTTGATTTTAACAAAAATTGAATTTTTAGGGTTCTTTGATATGCTGAATCTAAACATGTATTTAGATTTTTGATTATGGGCCCAGTTTTCAAGTTGGTCCAAATCGGGGTCCAAAATTAAACTTTGTTTGATTTCATCAAAAATTGAATTCTTGGGGTTCTTTGATATGCTGAATCTAACCATGTATTTAGATTTTGGATATTGGACCATAATAGGTGAATGTCCAATTTAAAATTTTTAAGTTCTTAGACCACATTCATTCTGTGTCAGAAACCTATGCTGTGTCAAATATTTAATCACAATCCAAATTCAGAGCTGTATCAAGCTTGAATGTTGTGTCCATACTTGCCCCAACTGTTCAGGGTTCGACCTCTGCGGTCGTATCAAGCTGCGCCCTGCGGAGCATTTTATTGGCTCATATCTCTGAAACCAAAGCATTTAGAGCAAATCTGACGGAAAAAAATTGTTCATTAGGTCAAGATCTATCTGCCCTGAAATTTTCAGACCAATCAGGCAACACATTGCTGGGTTGCTGCCCCTGAATTGGTAATTTTAAGAAAATTTTGCAGCTTTTGGTTATTATCTTGAATATTATTATAGATAGAGATAAACTGTAAACAGCAATAATGTACAGCAAAGTAAGATCTACAAATAAGTCAACATGACCAAAATTGTCAATTGACCCCTTAAGGAGTTATTGCACTTTATAATCAATTTTTAAAAATTTTCATAAATTTTGTTAATTTTTGTAAATTTTTACAAAATATTTTCCACTGTAACTACTGGGCCAAGTTCATTATAGATAGAGATAATAGTAAGGAGCAAGAATGTTCAGTAAAGTAAGATCTAAAAACACATCACCATCACCAAAACACAATTTTGTCATGAATCCATCTGTGTCCTTTGTTTAATATGCACATAGACCAAGGTGAGCGACACAGGCTCTTTAGAGCCTCTAGTTCTCTTTCTCAAAGACTTAATGTTTTTTGATAACACCAAAAATCGTACTGTGTTGAAACAAATAAAATACCGCTGGATTGACAACAACACTTTAGTGAACTGCAAGTTTTATTGTGTTGACTAGTTTCGCCGATGTGTTGAAACAAGTTGTTTTCACTAATTTTCTCACATAAAGTAATTACATACATGTATATCTGTAGTACGATAATAAATGTCAACACACAGGAATATGACTACCTATATATATATATATGCTTTCTATTTCTATGTTTGTAGTGTTGAAGTTAGTAAAGTGAAAAATGCAATACAGGAAGCTAATATACCTGTCAGATGGAAAAGTAAAATATTTAATGTAAGTAAGGTTACTATTAAATCTTCATTATGGCTAGCTTTTGGAGGCAAACACAGCAATTCTTTTTTCTTTCGATGCTGTCTTGACCTCGGTCAACCTTTTCTTTAAACCTTTTTTTACTTCAGTAACATCAATTCTAGATACTACTACCTAAAACTTTTGACAGGAGATTCTATATGAATAAGATGATGTCGCATCACTATCAAAATTTGGACTGAATTGTTCTGATATCTAGTATCACAATAGGTCATCCTTGAATAGTCTGTCTTAATGATCATTGCTATGTTTTGGGTCAAGTATAAAATTAATGAAAAAGGATGTTAGATGTTAAAGACATGTTTATACTTCCTGTTGCCTTTATCTACCAAATATAGTAACGATGTGATATTTCATGCAATGTCGATTTCATATCACGTCACTTTACTTAACAATTTGAGGTACGTTTAGGGATGGAAAATATGTTTTATTCTAATGATAACATTTTCATTACTAATTATAATTTTTTTAAGCTGCAGGATAAAAAACAATATTTGGTCAATGTCAGAAAATATCAACTTTTTTGTTATCGCCATGAAACAGTTGACGGGCTCAATAAACCTCGTCCTTACTCAGTTTCTAAGACTTACAAAAAAGTTGATATTTTTCTGACATTGACCTAATATTGTATATATATATATATGTATGTTCTTACTAGAAAATTCATTAGCAAGTACATAAAAATGAACACTATCGATATATTATGCCTGAAAGATGGTGTGCTATAGATGTCACTGTTAACTACATGTATGCTCAAAATTATCTTGAGCCATATTTAGCTTTTTGTAATATTTAGCTTTTTGTAATATTGCATGCTACAATTGTAATCCCTTTTATCAAATATATATGAATAAAAAAATGGTTTGGAACAGTTAATGAGACAATGACCAAAAAACCGATGTCAACAATAGACAGGTGTCTACACAATATGCCAAGGTCAATATTTCAAGCTTAAACATGTCTAAATTGTCCCAAGTCTTTGTCAGAACCATATTTATTTAACACAGATATGTTTTATGTAAGAATATATAACGCATCTTAAGATATTAACTATTCAAATGTCTATATATACATTTCCTTGTAATATACAGAATTACTGTTTCCAGCTTGCCTGGGCTAACAGACCATAAGAGCTGTTGCCATCACTTGGCGTCAGTCCTTAGTGTAAACATATTTTATTAATTAAACTCAAGTTAAACAATATACACAATTTGGCATTCAATTATTAATACAACTGAATAATTTTTAGAATCTGGAAACAAGGGTGTGTCGTTGCCATTTGTCTTCCCTCCTTTGGTTGTTGTGAATTTAAAAAAAAAATGTTCTTCTCTATAACTACTGGGCCAAATGTTACCAAATTTACCTAAATATTCCTTAGGGAATCTTGTTTAATATTTGTATCCAGGGATTTGATCCACCAACAAATATGGCCACTGTTGCTAAAAATAGAGAACATAGGCATAGAATGCATTTTTTGGCTTATATCTCTAAATTAAGCAGCTGGAGCAAAACTGACATCAGATAAAAAAAAGATTAGCAGTTCAAGGTCTATTTCCTATAAAATTTTCAGAAAAATCGAACAACTGATTTTGGAGTTATTGCTCATTAAAATGTCCATTTTAGCAAATTTTGGCTAATAACTAAATCATTTATTTCTCTAAATGTGTTCAGTTTTCATACAGGTATCTGTTACTGTAGAAGTTTATGCGCATTTTTTTTTGTATTTCAGGAAATTGATTTAAAACAAGTTAACCAACAATTGAATTTCCAAGCATTCCAAGACTCTGTTGATGTTATACAATCAGAGAAGTTTACTAGCAATGCAAGTAGTATAAATAACAAAATGATATCTTACAAAAATTTTATCATGTGACAAAGGATGGGGAAAAATTTGTACTGATCAGAGGACATTATTATTACTACTCCCAAAACATACACAAATTTTTCATTGCAAGTCATGTTGTTACAAATTTCAGTCATTGTAAACAAAGATGTGCTGGATTTGCACAAAAAATATATTCTGCTTTTAGTATCGAGAATGTTGCTTGTGGAATTACTTTCATTTTGGATAACTAATCATTATGAAATTTGAACAAAATTGCCTTTGTTAAAATCAAGGTCAATAATATCATTTTGTAAGAAATCAAGGGCAACAATATCTTTTTTTAAGAAATCAAGGGCAATAATATCATTTGTATAAATTAAAGAAAGCAAGGACACAAGTTATTTCTTCAATTTTCATGGTCATTTATTTCTTTTACAATTGTATTTAACAGAGACCAGCAATAAGATGGTTTGGACATCCTGTTTTGAGATTTTTACAGAAATGTGTTGCTCACAGATTTTTTACCTACTTTGGTAATTTGGTAGCTGTGGTCAATGTTTTTGTCATAACAGTAAGTTCTTTTAATAAAATATCAGATGTTTTTATTTAATTTTCCAGTTTTATTAATTTGAAAAATTGCAATATTTTTTATTTACAAATTCCAGGAATTATCACTGCAATCTCTGTAGTCTACCGGTATTTTAATTTATAACTCATCATTCAAATAAAATTCCCTAAACATAATTAGAAATTAGAAATACAACTTTTTTTCTATATAAAATAATTTTTCCAGATGCCTGTAAATGGTTAGTATTTTTTTTTTAATCAAGAAAAAATTTAAAATGCTTAATATACGTGTTTAGTTAAAGAAAAACTTGATGTCCATATGATTTGTCTGTGGAATTTTATTACTCTAGCAAAACACAGCAAGTAAAAAAAAAATCTTACAGCAGAAACATTCATGAATTAACCAGTTTTCTTGCAACTGGTATATTCATTTTCAATTTCATAAAAAAAAAAATTAATTCTTGTGACTATGTTTGTTTCACCTTGAGTTTTGCCTGACAAAATTTGGTTTCAACATAAGAAATTTAAAATAATTCTTGCTAATTTTTGTCGAGCCTTCGACTTTAGTTGAAAAAGCGAGACATAGCGATCCTACATTCCGTCGGCAGCGGCGGCGTCCACAAATATTCACTCTGTGGTTAAAGTTTTTGAAATTTTAATAACTTTCTTAAACTATCCTGGATTTCTACCAAACTTGGACAGAAGCTTGTTTATGATCATAAGATAGTATCCAGAAGTAAATTTTGTAAAAATAAAATTCCATTTTTTCCGTATTTTACTTATAAATGGACTTAGTTTTTCTGCCGGGAAATATTACATTCACTCTGTGGTTAAAAGTTTTTAAAATTTTAATAACTTTCTTACCCTATCCTGGGTTTGTACCCAACTTGGACAGAAGCTTGTTTATGATCATAAGATAGTATCCAGAAGTAAATTTTGTAAAAAAATAAATCCATTTTTTCCATATTTTACTTTAAAATGGACTTAGATTTTCTGCCAGGAAACAACACATTCACTCTGTGGTTAAAGTTTTTAAAATTTTAATAACTTTCTTATACTATTTTGGATTTTTACCAAACTTGGACAGAAGCTTGTTTATGATCAAATGCTAGTATCTAGAAGGAAATTTTGTTTTCTTCCAGTTAACATTACATTCAGTCTGCAGTTAAAGTTTTTAAACATTTATTAGATTCATAAACTATCCTGGATTTTTTACCAAACTTGGACAGAAGCTTCTTACAATCAAAAGATAGGATCAAGAGGAATATTTTTATTGATTTACTTCCTCATTTTTGTTGAGTCTGCGATTAACAGAAAAAGTAGGCGAGACACTGGGTTCCGCGGAACCCTTACGAATTTTGAATTTAAATTGGCTTACATGAAAGAAAACTGATTAACATTTGAATGTTATTTAGGGAAATTGATTACTAGATTTGACCTTTTGTTGTCTTTTTCTTTTTGACAAGATTTGTATTGCCCCCTTTATAGTATCTTCTCACCTTTTTTAGTAGATGGATAATATTTAAATCTTTTTCATTGTTTCAGGTTGAGTTAGCTACGCAATATGATAAATCCTTCAATTACAGCAAATCTGTTTTGAATGTAAGTATAAGTCACTTACTTGGATAATAAATGATCTTTTATAATACTAACAAAGGGAGATAATAATTGATCTTTTATGGAGTAACAAAGGGGAAGGAAAGCGCTTTTTTCTAAAAATATTGTCGTCACTTGTTTACTTTTCAACACAGCATTCAATTCGTATATTTACAGATCTTTGAAAGAAAAAAATAAATGTAACATTTTAAATCTGAAACTAAAACTTTAAACACAAAATTACAGTAGAAATTGTCTAGTAAATGAATGATTTTTTAGCATTCAGAGCTAATCATTCTATATAAACTTGAGTTGTTTTCATACAGATTGATAACATATGAAAGGATCATACAATTTGTTTTTTAACCAATTAAAGGTCAGCATTTGAATGAATTAACCACCTACTGAAAATATTCAAAAGTCATAGTTTAAACATATTTATTTATAGTGGATTGAGAAACAAGTAATTGCAACTTATATTAATCCCTTTCCACTTTTCGGGTGCTAGTGCTGCCTTGTTGCGGCATTAGCCTGCTCTTTTTTGAAATCTACAAGGGTGTCTTTTACGTGCAAGAGATATGACACGGGCCAGTCATTTATCGTCCCCTTCCGACGGACTATCATCGTTTCTGAAGACCATACCAGTCGTCTTTTTTTTTGTTTTTTTTTTTATCTTTTTAATAATCATAATAACTTGAAAGTATGCCTAAATTACTTATAAATAAATATGTATGGAGGATCATTTTTTAATTTGTACTGATATAAAATGAAAGAAAATTGTTGGTATGTTTGAAATTTTTTTTGTATTTTATTTAACCCAAAAAACATTATTTCAGATAATGAGGCTAGGGGTAATACATAAATTTGCTTCAAAATATAACACTTGCAGTTAATCATAATTTCTTCTCAAAAATATTTCAAACTCACACATTTGTATTGTTTGAAATGTTTTTCTTCCTGTTAATTATATTTAATATTCTACACAATATCTGTCAGGAAGACTGTCGTTTTTTTCTTATTGCCAAGGCAGAGTTCTAGAAAAGCACCAAACTTGCATTAAGTGTATGTTAAAAACAAATGATGATGAAAGATTTCAATGTAAAGATTGATTATGATAATTTTGTGCTATATAGTAAATCAATAACTGTAAATTCAGAAATTTTGCAATGTTTTTATTGCTGCGAAATTGTGATGGAATAGGTATCACAAAAATGAAAAATTCTCACTTTCATATTTTGTTAACATTATTTTTATCATGCATGTGTATGCAGCATTTACTAATACTGCATCAATTATACTCGCATTTTTTGTTCATTCTTCAAAAATTGCAATAATAAATGCACACAAAAATTTTGAATTTACAGTGCTTATGATGTTCATTTTTTTTTAGATTATAATGATTTTATTTGCTCAAAGATACAAATATGATCGGACACAAGTTTAACCAACTTATGAAGTCTTCTCCTTTACATTATAATACAATTACAATTATACAGAGCATGCACAGTTCAGTAGATATATCTTAAATGTAATATCAAAATGGGACATTTGCACATTCTGAAAAAAATAGCCTAGCACAGTCTGGAAAAAATAGCCTAACACAATAAACAAGAAAAAGAATATAGAATTGAGAAAAATAAAAAAAAAAAAAATAAATAAATAAATTAAATAAAATAGAATAAAAAAAAAATTAAAATCAAAAATAATAAATAAATAAATGAAATTATGTGGACACGGTGTTTTTGTTTATTCAAATCTTATTTGATTATACTACTAGGAATCTTTTTGATTTTTTTATAAATTTAAAGACTACTTTAAAGATTTCACAGTTTTTCTTGTATGTTAAAGTTTGGCTACCCTCAGTGAGCAACTCTAGATTTGTTGTCACTTGAAAAGGATGAATGTTGGTTAATAGATCGTTCCTTATATCGGTGTATTTATTGCAGTTAAAGAAGAAATGAAATGCATCCTCACGTGGAGTGCCACAGGCACAATATGGACTCTGTATTATACTTGATTCAAATAGGTTGTTATTTAGAAATGAGGATGTTCATTTTGAAATACAGCTACATGTATTTAATTAGGCTTGCATCTAAATATACTGAACTAGAATTAAGGAAAACCATGGAATAATATTTTACATTATCCAATTTATCTTATACTTATCTTGAACACTGTCAGCATCAAATAGAATGTCACAATTTGAGGTTGTAGAGAAGGAAGATGTTTTTATTCTGATTTGCCTGAAGGTGCTCATCTTTCCTTACTTGATTCATGCAGAAATATAAGAATTTCTTTTAAAATTTTATTTGTTACTTGATATCAAACAAGATTACAGTTAATATTATATATTTAATGAAATGTTTCTTCTATTCATTTTAAGTATTTTCAAAACCTTTTTGATATAACACTTATAATAGTTGTTAAGATGAGCTATTCTCTTTTAAAAACATGTTTTAAAACAGTAAAATAAAAGTAAAAATGGTGAAGTTCAGCAAAGTTTGAAAACTCATTGTTTATGCTAAGTTATTCTGCTTCATCCGATTCTTCTTGCATCTGAACTTTTCTGTGGCAGTCTCAGATACCACATCTCAGATTTGAAGGTTCTGTAGTATGTAAGGCTTACAAGTCCAGTTGTTTTGTTTTGTTATTTTGTTTGTGCAATGGAGCATATTACAAGATATTTATAGGGACACAAAGAGGAGTGTGGTTTCCCGTAGTATGTGTATGGGGGAAAAGTGTCATGTAATATTTGAATGCTTACAACAATGTGTTTTGTTTGTTTGTGTTTAACACCACTTTCAGCTAACTTGGCTATATCATGGCATCTATTTTTTTTCTAAAACATGTTTTAATGTAATGGCAATAGTCCTCTAGAATTAACTTGAAAAAGTAAAGTCTGAAAATGTAATTCAAACAATAGTTGTCTTTCAGGTAGGCTATGCTCTTTGTTCTCTGGTGAATTGTTGTCTCCTTGGCAATCATACCAAATCTCCTTGTCTTTATATATATACTGTGGATTCATTATTTTTCGTTGGATACCAATTTTCATGGTCAACGAATAACAAAATTTCCATAGGCTTGTATGCAGACTTTGGCAAAACCACGAAATTAAATATCCACGAAAACATGTAAGTTTTCCTAAATCCTCGAAAATTTGTACCCATGAAAATAAATGAATCCACAGTATATCATGTTCTTTATTCAATGCAACCCAAATTATGTATTTTTATTGAAGTCTTTGAAAGTTTGGGATTGACCTCTTTGAATGAAATCAATTCACAAAATTTTAAGGGTACAACTTTTTGTATCCTTGAGATCATTATTTTATTGTATGTTAAATGTTATTTACATTATACATTAGCATAATAATTAACATTAATTGTTATTAGTATTTTGAAATAAAAGGGAATTGGAATTCTGACTGTTTTGCAATGTATTGTAAGTTCCAACATCATGAGGTTTTTATAAATGCGTATATTACCACTGGGTGAGTATTGCAATAATAAATTTCGGTTCTTTAAAAATCACAAAATAAATGCACACAATAATTTCTTAATTTACAGTATTCAAGAAAACAGATTTATTTGTGTTTGTAACAATGAAAAATCCATGTTTCAACTTGTAAATTTTGTTCTTTCAGATTGTAAATTTTGGTTTTGTAACCTACTACCTCCTGGAACAGGTGTTAAAATTTGTAATGTTTGGATGGAGAAGATATGTTTTTGAAAAATCCAATATCTATGATGGCCTGATTACAGTAGCTTTAGTGGTAAGAATATTATAGATGTCAGTGTACTCACCGTAACTTTCATATAGCATCCTCATAAACAGAATTCTGGAAAAATATCGTGTTGAATATAGAAAGTCACATCCATAACGCAATCTATAGGAAAATCAATGCAAAAATCATCATTGGCTGGATATACAAAAAAATAATAACATATTTTGACTTGACTTAGCAAATTATCAATACAAATCCAAATAAAAAATCTCAGACAAGGTTTGTGGTGTTGAGAATTGGTTCAGGTATTTATGAAGTTATATGACATTTTCTGTTGATTTAAACATTCATTCAACAGGTTGTAATTGCATTGGAATATAAGATACTGTAATGTATTTCAATACTTGTCAATATCAATATTAGGCTTAAGTGTTAAAAAAATAATTTTTTCATTCTCTTTTAGGTTACAGAAATATTTTCTGTTGCTGAATATGGGCTTCCATTAACTGGGTAAGTAGCTTTGTAGACAATGTTTATAGTAATTTTAATGCAGTTTTGAAGAAAGGTTAAATGAGGACTAGGCTTCCATAAAAACATCTGATGCAGCGAGACATTTGTTTATCCCATTATCAATCTATTTAAACTTTGTAACCAAAGTTATACAAGCAAGTCAGAGTAATCAAGAGGGGAATCAAGGGCATTCATTTTTTTAAATATACAAGGAGTAGTGATGATGTTTATGTTTTATGTATTACAAAGGGTTTAATATTCTATATTCTATTTAATTTTTTTTAAACACCAAATTGGAGGATGAGGATGGAGGATAGTTATTTATTCATTTATTAATTTTTAATGTACTGAATGATTTATGGTGCTGTTATATGTTTTATAGGTAAATACACTGCAATCAATGACCATTCTTTTATTTAAGCAATTGGGGAAAAGATAGTCTCAATCTTATCTCAGATACATATGCCGAAGGATTCTTTTATGCTATCTGAATTTTTTACATAATGTAATTGTTTGATTATTTGTAGAGATGCAATAGTCCCTCAAGATTCTGTAACCCTTTGGAATGTTGTCAGAATTATAAACATACTAATTATGGCCAGAATACTTAGAATTATACCACAGATAAAGGTGAGTGGTCAAATATATGAAGTTAAAACTAACATGCCTGTATCTCAAGATTTATTAGCCATTTTCTTTTTGTATGTTATTAGGATATGAAACCATGTATTTAATTTTTTTGTATTTCCTTTGTTATAATCCTAAAATAACTGAGACAGGCATAAACGGACAGTTTCACAATAGGTTTTAGCAGTTGGTATTGGGAAAAGATGAAGCCTTTTTATTAAAGAGATGTTTTTAAAATTGTGTTGAAACTGAAATTGCTCATTTGAAACTCTAGTAAATTTGTTGCAAGCTGTTTCTCCTTTAATAGCTGAATATGAAAATCAAATTGAAATGATCAGTTGTATGAAAATTAATTACTGTAATACTTGCATGAATTTATATGTTGTTATCAAAAACATTTTAAAAAGAAGGTTTATTGTTGCACCAGTTGGTAGTTTATATGATATTTTTTTATTTCTGTTTTTCAAGAATTGATTTGAACACAGTTTCTTGTTATAAATAGACATCAAAATACAAATAAAACTCATGCTAGGATCAATTAATTTTATTTTGCACAAGGTGTATTTACATGTACAAGTTCTAAGGATTAGTGATTAAAATCATGTTTCCAGTTGTTTGTAGTATTTCACCCACATGAAAATTTTATTGCAAAACAGAATAGGTGACTTAAAATTTCTAATAACAGTGAGACAAAACTTTAAAAGTTTATATTCACAGACAAAGATATCTAATTATACATGTTTTCTTCTGCAAAAAGTCCTTAGAATTTGAAGTGAAAAATGGCCTCAGATTCTGTTTCATGTTTTTGTTTTTTTTTTGTGTGCATGACAGATGCATTGTATATGTATTGATCTATTTTATGATACTGATAATTTGTCTTTTTTAGTCCATGTCCATAGTGGTCAATACCTTGGTAGATTTGATTAAGAATATGAAGGCATTTGCTGGTATTTTAATTGTAAGTTTTAATTAGCATATAAATATAAGAGTCTATAGAATACAACCAACCTGCAAATTTAATACATATTGAATCATCTAACGACAATTCAGTTCAAACAAACAAAATCATTAAAGTCTTAAGATTTATGCAACGATACTGATAAAAGATAAAAAATAAATAAACAAGATGAAATTAAATCATATTGACAGATATTTCGACAAAACATGAGGAATGATGCCCTTTTCCCTGATTCCTCATGGTGTCATACTTGAACAAAAATACTACTTTCAAATTTAACAAAAGCATAGATGTTATTCATAGAGCTTGTAAAAATCTCATTGGGAACAGATTATATCACAGTCTGGAATTAATTTTCACTCTTAAATGTTAAATATTTAAATATTTAAATATTTAAACTGCTGAATAAGCACTTTTCCATCGTCTTAAATGCTGGACAAGCTTGTTTTTTCTTAAGACAAACAATGTTGTAGGTGGCTACATGAAGGTGAATATCTATATTTAAATTTACCACAGTTAAATATAATGCTGTACATGTTCAACATGCAAACTGAGTAGCATAAATAATTTTTGAATAATATTTTCCAGGTGATATATTATTCATTTGCCATTATGGGTATAGAGATCTTTAATGGGTCTATAGAATACAACCCTCCTAATGCCACAGTTTCAGGGTAAGGAAGACACCATATAATCCTGGAGAAAAAAAGTGAATAAATTCACATTTAAGTATTAACTTTTATTTACAAGATACAATTTTTTAGGATTTTGAACATCAGTTTTACAGTATGATGACCATTACTAAAGCATATGTTACTTTCTTTTTATTGAATAATATGTGATTGGCTCTCAAGATCCCTGTATGAGTTGTTAAATTAATGTTCTGAGATATACAAAGTTGGTTTTAAGTAAAAAGAGATGAGGATTCTAGGTCTATGACAGCAACCGAACAACACTATAAAAAAAAGATATGGAGAGGTCAACATACACCTCAAAATGAAAGACAACTTAACTACACCACATGTCAAGCATTTTTGAAACTGCCTTGGCTTACATTTTGTTTTAACTACAAATTCCATTGCTACAAATTTCCTTTGCTCAAATATAACAAGATTATATTGAACACTATTGTTGGTATAGATGAAAGATGTGTTTATTATTTTATTGTAGAGGTCTACTATACAAATGTGGATCATACCAACAGTTGGAATACTGGGCCAATAATTTCGATGATTTTGCCGTGAGTGATTATAAATTTATATTTGGGTAGTATAAAATAAGGAGATGTGGTATGATTGCCAATGAGACAACTCTCAATCAGATACCAAATGAAGTAGATGTTAGCAACTATAGGTCATCATAAGGCCTTCATCAATGAGAAAAACACACACCTCATAGCAAGCTATTAAAGACCAGACATGATAAAATTTAAGATAATTCAAATGAGAAAACCAATGGCCTGATGTATTTACAAAACAACAAACAAAAAACAAATATGATATACCGGTACAGCAACAAATGACAACCACTGAATTACAGGCTCATGACTTGTGACAGGCACATATGGAATATAATGGAGTTAAACATGTTTGTGGGTGCCCAACCCTCCCCTAACCTGGGACAGTGGTGTAACAGCACAACATAGGAAAAAACTATAAAAATCAGTTGAAAAGGGCTTGACTCCTCATATCAATGCAAAGCACAAAACAACTAACAAAAGCACTAGAGACATAAAGTAACTATGTTCAAGTGTCAATTTCATATTGCATTTCAAATGTTATATTCCCCTAAAGTTTGTGCTGTATCACCGACATGATTTATTTGATTATTTTGAAAGAAATGGTAGTTTTTGATAAACACTTTTTCTTACCAGGCTTTTTTCAGGGCTTTTTATTGGACCAATATACATTTATTGTTGATTTTATGCTGAATTGACATGTTCAGAAATTTTAGGTTTTGATTTATGTAAGTGATGTTTTAAACAGAAACATACATTGTACCTAACAATTTAATATTTATATTTATATGTACAGTGAAGAACCAGATTCAGCGATTAGTGTATCTTCTGTAACAATATCTATAATGTCCCATGATGAGGAGGGTTGAGTGCTCACAAACATATTTAACCCTGTCACAATTTTTATATGCCTGTCCTAAGTCAGCAGCCTGTAATTCAGTTGTTGTCGTTGGTTCATGTCTGTCATACTGTAAACTTAGAAATTCTTGTGAGGCTTTTATTAATGCGAATAATGCGACTGGATGAGTCTCACAATAATTAGAATTCACATTCTAATAACTGATATATATATATATATATAAAGCTGTTTGCAGTTTTTGTCGAGCCTGCGACTTTTGTCGCAGAAAGCTCGACATAGGGATAGTGATCCGGCGGCGGCGGCATTAGCTAACTTCTTAAAAGCTTTATATTTTAGAGGGTGGAAGATCTGGATGCTTCATACTTTGTATATGGATGCCTCATGTTAGGAAGTTTCCGTCAGTCACATGTCCAATGTCCTTGACCTCATTTTCATGGTTCAGTGACTACTTGAAAAAAAAAGTTAAGATTTTTTGTTATGTCAAATTCTCTCTTATTATAAGTAATAGGATAACTATATTTGGTATGTGCGTACCTTGCAAGGTCCTCATGCCGTCAGACAGTTTTCACTTGACCTCGATCCTCATTTCATGGATCAGTGAACAAGGTTAAGTTTTGGTGGTCAAGTCCATATCTCAGATACTATAAGCAATAGGTCTAGTATATTTGGTGTATGGAAGGACTGTAAGGTGTACATGTCCAACTGGCAGGTGTCATCTGACCTTGACCTCATTTTCATGGTTCAGTGGTTATAGTTAAGTTTTTGTGTTTTGGTCTGTTTTTCTTATACTGTATCCAATAGGTCTACAATATTTGGTGTATGGAATGATTGTAAGGTGTACATGTCTAGCTGGCAGGTGTCATTTGACCTTGACCTCATTTTCATGGTTCAGTGGTCAAGGTTAAGTTTTTGAGTATTGGTCTTTTTTATAATACTATATGCAATAGTTCAACTATATTTGGTGTATGGAAATATTTTATGATCTATGTCAGTCACACAGGTTTTATTTGACCTTGACCTCATTTTCAAGGTTCATTGCTCAGTGTTAAGTTTTTGTGTTTTGGTCTGTTTTTCTTAAACTATAAGCAATAGGTCAACTATATTTGTTGTATGGAAGAATTGTAAGCTGTACATACCTGCCTAGCATGGTTCATCTGACCTTGACCTCATTTTCATGGTTCATTGGTCAATGTTTAGTTTACTTGGTTAATGTTAAGTTTATGTGACAGTTGTAATAAAGCTTTATATTTAGGACTATCAACATAATATCAATGATTAGTAAAGAAGGCGAGACATTTCAGCGTGTTCACTCTATATATATATATATATATATATCTGTTTGCAGTTTTTTCTGAAATCGCAATTTTTAAACTCACATTTTTGTCCATTCTCCAGAAATTGCAGTAATAAATGCTTGCAATAATTTCTGAATTCACAGTATTTGTTTTTCGTAAAGGATATTGTTATAAATTAAGCTGTGAGTTTTCTCATTTAGATTATTTCACATTTTTCATGTCGAGCCTTTTAAAGCTGACTATACAGGATGGGTTTTTTCTCATTATTGATAGCCGTACAGTGACCTATAATTGCTTAAATCCACATAATTTGATAACTGGTGGATAGTTGTCTCATTGGTAATCATACCACATCTCGTTATTTTTGTATAATGTACCATTTTTGTGCAGTGTAAGCATTTTGTGAGAACGTTCTTGGTTATTTTTTCTTCAATGATATTTTCAAAATTTATCCTTTTTTTTTTAATTGTTTTTCTGGATTTTGGAAATTCAAGATTTTATTGAAAAAGAATATCAGAATTGTTAATACTTTGTCATTTTAAAAGAGATTTTTTAAAAAGATCTTTATAAATGAGAAATATAACTTTTTCATTCAACTGTATTCAATTATTCAAGAGCATTCCTTTCTGTACTCCAAGATCACTGTTATACAGGGCCACCCTTAGAAAATCTTTGTTTGATGTTGCCTACCCATGCCTTGTGAGGTTGGGTAGATAGGTCAGGATTAAATTTTTTTTGGCCAACAACAAAGGTTACATGTTTTAGATGAGAAAACGATGTTAGAGAAGGAAAATATCTTTAAAAAAATTTGAACCAATTTGTGTCATAAAATTTTTCCGGTAGGCTGCATTTTAGGTGGGTAAGTAGGCAACATCAAACAATTCAAATTTTATTTTTGGCCCAGTTTGATTAAAAAAACAATCCCTGTGTCTATGCTTTGCTTACAAGGATCTAACAACACTCTGTTCTACTTTCTGTTCTGGAAATTATTACATCAGCAAATGAAATTTTAGCCCTCTGATTTTTTTTACATGTGTTTTATTATGACAAAACAGGATGATCCTGAAAGGTCTGTAAAACAGATAGTAGAACTGAGAGTTGTCAGATCATATATACAGGGTCTGTATATCAGACTCAGTCAGATTAACTATTGTGACTAGTGTGCTGTCATAAATTCATGGGAGATGTCTGCTGTTTTTCTGCAGTTTACATGTTGTAATGTACTATTATATTATTTATTTATGTATTTCTTTGTGCAGAGTGTTCTTGCGTTTGTTTGTACTGTATTCCTGTCACGTAGTGTTGTCATTTTAGTGGTATTTTTAACATTGCCATATAAGTGGGAGGTTTGTCTAGCCATAAAACCAGGTTCAACCCACCATTTTTTCTTAAAATGTCCTGTATCAAGTCAGGAATATGGCAGTTGTTATCAGACAGTCCGTTTCTATGTAAGATCGGCGTTTGCTTTTGTTGTAGTTCAGTGTTTCTATTGTTCCATTGTTTTCCTCTTATAGTTGATGTGTTTCCCTTGGTTTCAGTTTTTGTTACCCGGATTTGTTTTTCCTTAATTGAATTATGACTTTTGAACAGCGGTATACTACTGTTGCCTTTATTTATGTATATAATGTCTGAAATATATTTTTGATTTTGTAGGCAGCCATTGTAGTATTATGGGATATAATGGTAGTCAATAACTGGAGTGTGTTCCTTTCAGCTTACAAAAGTGCAACCTCTCGGTAAGTCCATCAGAACTATCTCTTATCAGATTTGAGAAGGACCTTTCAAGGAAGGTGCAGCCACAAACCAAGCATCACAAATACTGTGGATTTGTTTATTTCCGTGGGTACCTATTTCCGTGGGTACCTATTTTCGAAGGATTAAGGCAAAATTGTATTTTCATGGTTTTAAAATAGTCTGAATAAAAGCCTAAAACAAAAGTTGTACTTCATTGAGCATTTAAATTCATGGTTCAACTGTACCCACAAATTTCACGAAATTCTTAATCTGTTTTACAGATGGCCCTTTCTGTTTTTAATCACATTTATTATTATTTATTTGCAGATGGTCCTATCTGTTTTTCATAATATGGTGGTTATTTTCTGTTGTTATTGTCCTACAGTTGTTTACAGCCATTATAATAGAGGTAAAATTTACAATATACTGCAGTTTAACGATTAATTTTTGTGTTTTCCAATATGTGAAAGTAATATTCTTGGTAGGTTAAAATTTCATTGAGGCTTCAATTTTGTGGATAATATCCATCCACAAAATAAATGAATTAAAATCTTAAAGAAAATTTCTGTTTTTACAAATTAAGAATAAAAATTATCTTTTTTTTTTATCAAACTTTATCTTTGTATATTAAAACATATTGTATAATTATATTTGTAGAATTTTATAATGAAATGGGATAAAAGTCAACTAAATACTGACAGAGGAAGAAGAACATCGAGTTTTGAAGACTCACATCATTTTATGTCTGTTCACGATATGTTTAGGTAAAAACAATAATTGTTTAAAATAATAGTCACTTGTCTACCCTAAACCATGTTGAACAGGGGGAATAACATATGTATTTCAGTAATAAAATTAAATCATTTATGTACCCATAACCAAGTTATCTAAGGGAGATGATACATATACTTCAAAGGGAGTTGATAAACTGCCTCAAATTAAGCCTGACCTTTTTTTATAAGAGATTGTTAATCAAACTAAAATATAAAGTCTATATCAACACAAAGGAAACTGCATGGAAGAACCCTATACATGTTCTGTAACAAAACAATCTCTAAAATAAAAACAACATGTTAAAGGGCTATTCCATTAAAATGTATGTGGGAGGGTAGGAAGGGAAGTTTAATTATTGAATGTGGGTCATGGGTCTTTTTTCAGTATGCATCCATTACCATTATACAAAATTATCTTAAAAATGGTTCTTGGTTTTAGGGATATTTTGAAAGTCCCTTCCTACCCTCCCACATACATTTTAATGGAATAGCCCTAAGATACCTATACTTTATGAAAAACAAAAAGTAAAAGAAAAATTCAACATCTAACTATAAAACTTGCACTGGTTTAGTCACTACTTAATCCTCGATACTAGTAATTAAAACCTGTGCAATTACCTTATATACTGACTGCCAAACCGAATAACAACAATTGTTACACAACCTATTTAAACTCCCCATAATAAAATCATTGTAGATCTTTCAAACTCATTCTGCACACCACACGTAAATTAATATCATGAATTCTTTTTAAAAAAATTTTGGAGGAACATATAGTCTCTGAACATCACTGAAGAGACATTAATTGTCAAAATGCACATCTGATGCATTTAAATTGGTACCGTTTGATGTTATTATCGAACAATAACTTTTTTGATTGGAATAGACCCTTATAACTTTGCAATACTACTACTGGCTATGGGATATGCCAAATATCAAAAACTTACCTCAAAGGATATTAAAGTTATGGTCTAGACATAAATATGTCAAAAGACAAGGTTGTATGAGAAGAAGAAGAACCAGAACAAGAAAAAATACTATTAAAACATGTCTCTATTTGTTGAAGGGGAGACATAATGATATCATAGGATACCACATCTAAATCTGGTTTATCAATATTTATTAATTAAATGACTTTTTAAACATATATACAATTGGTATATGTAGATATGAAGTTTAATATATGTAATTTTATATAATTGTAGGAGTACACTAGAGGAGCCTTCAGAATCAGAAATACTGCAGGAGATTAGTAACCACAGATATTTAAAACTTAGACAGATTCCATCAGTCACATGATATTCTATGGCAGACGACGATGATGTTATTCTGTATGATTCTCTGAATGAGATCTCAAATTATTAATGTTATCTCCCCATTTGCAGATGTATACAAATATATTTTTTTACATTTCAGAAGCCAAGAAACAGTTGCAGATATATACATATATATTTTTATAGTTCGAAATGTTTTAAAAACTATCGACATTTAAAGTACTAAAATATTATACAAACTAAATTAAAAAAAAAAAAAAACTGTACCAAATTTATGACATAAAAAATCTTGGTAAAATCATAAGTAGCAAAGAATATAAGACATTGAGACTTATTTCTTAAAGGCAGATCAACATATGGTCCAATTCCTATATTCTTCTTTTTTTACCAAGGTATTGTTTTGTTTCGGCTAATAAACATTCTATATTTTGTTATTGCATCAGGTATTTTGCTTTCAAATTTTTGAATTTTATTCTGAAAACACCTTGGTTAGCTATTCTACTTTTAAACAAAAAAGTGCTTATTAATTGAATGGTAGTATTCAAATTATGTTATTTTGAATGTGATATAAGAGTGCTATTAAAGTAACTTATAGTTTAAATCTCAAATATTTGCACATTATCTCAGATGAAAAAAAACACAGTATCAAAATTTTATCATAAATACAATTTTTTTAATTTTGAGTATTTAATTTTACAGTAATTTCATAATTTTGTAAATATTTTAGTGTGGCATTATAAAGTTGTTTTACAGGTATTTGTTTTTAATTTCAAGCTATGTGATACAAAATGGTTTTTGGAGTGGATTTAACTTTCATAGTTGAGTTTATTGGTCTGTTTAACCATATCAATTATACACTATGAACCTAGAGATATGCAGAATTTATTACTATAATGAATTCTAAAAATATTTAGTTATTTTTTATTTAACATTTTTTCTCTGATTATTTACTGTCCTATCATTTTGTTATATATAATGTTCATATAAAAATTCATAATTGGATATTTAATAAAAACAAAAAATAGTTAAAATTCTTAATTGAAATTTGAGACAAAAACTTTTAAAGTGCTATTCAGAGTTTTCTAGTTTTTGAACCTACATGTGCAGTTAAGGTGGTTAATCCTTCCTTTAGTATTTCTTCATATTTTTGTTTTAAATTTTTAATGTATTTTAAAGTTCATTGTTTCTTTTTTTAAATGTTGAAAGTTGAATAAATTCCTTAATATTATTACATTAGTTTAGCAGTTAAGTTTTTGTTTGATAGGGGATGCTTTTATATGAAAGATATAAATTGTTTTATATCTAGAGGGTTATTTAATATTTCATTTTCATTCCTGTAATTTCTATTAACAACAGCTCCAATGGATTTTTTTGATTTAAGTATCTAGAAAACCTATCATCATTAAGGAGGTACCAAACACCTTGACTAAAATTAATTTGGCTCGTTTAATTTTCATAAAATGTTGACAAAATATTTACTTTGACCCATTGACAAAATATAAAAATTTCAAAAAACTTGAACCACACACTTTATCAGAAAAATTTCATTGGATATATAGCAGTTTGACAAACACTAATTTTGATCATTGAGTACTTAATATTTCCTTAACAATAGAATGTGAATAAAACGTTCAGCTGATTTTTACAGAGTTATCTCCCTGTAGTGTTATGTACCACCTTAGTTCATCAATTCTGAATAATACAATCAGTAAACAATTAAACAAATTTGGTACATTTCATTTAAAAAGTAACCTAGGTTATTCTGAATAAATTCCTAAATAAAGAATTTTATAGGAGACAGTCTTATTAAAATATGCTTAAGTGTATTATTTGTTTTATAGGGCATTATAAACTGATGTAAGGAGGCACCCATGTATAAATTTTTACATAGTTATATCCCTTTCCAGCATGTTTCCTTATAATTTTTATGTAACTTTTGTCTCACCTGACAACAAAAGTAGCAGAATGTGAGACATTGGGATGCTAATCTGTTGCTGGCTTCAGAAATTGTCATGGATCATTGGTCAGTGTTTAGTTTTTGTGGTTATGTCTGTTTCTTAGACGGTATAAGCAATAGGTCAACCACGATTGGTTTATGAAATAATTGTAAGGTGTATAGGTATTCTGACAGGTTCATCAGACCTTGACCTCATTATTGGCGAACATTACATTTTCGAGGTTATGTCTGTTTCTAAGATTCTATAAGCAATAGGTTAAACATATTTAATGTATGGAATGATTGTTAGGTGTACATGTCCATCTGGCAGGGTTCATCTGACCGTGACCTTATTTACTTGGACCATTGATAATGTTAAGTTTATGTGCATGATACTTAAACCACCATCTTCAAGACTTTCAGCTTAAACTCAATCATAATCAGTAAAGCAGGCAAGACATTTCAGTGTGTTTTCTTTCAAAATTGATATGTTGTGCTTTAATTTTTGTTGTTGTTAGTTTGTTATTTCTGAAAAATAAAAAATTAAAATTATTTATTTGTTTTTGTGTGGTGTTTTTTTTATTGTACTGTACAATGCATATTTAAAAATTAACAAATGTTTTAAATAGATTTGGTGATTACTCATAATTTTAACATTGTAAATCCTGATTTTATGTTTAATGACCAAGGAATTGTCGTTGATTTTATCAAAGGGAAACCACATAATGGCATAATGGTTTTAGTGCTGAATACTATTGGTATTTATATTTTCATTTATTGAGATTTAATGTACTTTTATTAATTGAAAAACTCTTATAAAATAAGATGTAAAATATTATTTCTTATCAGTTTTGTGATGAAATAGTATTGAATTTTTTTCATAGAAAATATCCACAAGACTTTTTCTACTATTTAGTTTTAGTATTTATTTTATTATTATACTATTTCCACTGGCTTGTTTTGAAGATCAAAATAGTTTTACAATAATTTTTTCTTTTAATTGTTTGTTTTTAAAATAATTTGAGATTGGTTTTAGGAAGTTGTTTTTAATGTTTAATTTCAAAATATTTCGCAAGAAGGGTATTAAAATGTATGAATATACGATCATATCATTGATGAAGTCATGGATTAGACTATTTTCATATTACCTACTTTTGACTCCGAAGTATATAATTTTTCAACAGGTTACCTACTCTGTGGTAGGACAATCTGGTAATCTGTCAAGTAAGAGCAACTAAAAGGAGTAAAACCAAGCTAACAATCTGGTCAATTTGGGGGAAAAAATATTTGTTTTATGTTTTATAAAAATAAGAAGATGTGGTATAATTGCCAATGAGACAACTCTCCACCAGAGACCAAATGACATAGAAGTTAACAATTATAGGTCACCTATACCGTACAAAACCTATTTTGTAAACCCTACAAAATCATCAGAAAACAATTAATATTTTCCATTAATTGCACTCAATATGAAAATAGTCTATTATAGAATTTGTATGAGGATATAGTTGAACAAAATTTATATTACAGCAATGGTGTCTCTACCATAAATGAATTGTCTTGCAAGCTGTAAGTTATTTCCAAATTGTTGCAGATTATCCTTAAACTAAAAGTACAAAATCCTTAGTTGAAACCTATTCTGTTTTAGTTGAGCACGTTTTATTTCTTTTTTTTTTATATAACTCGTCAAGTACAGTGGAATCAACTAGTTGCAAGCAAACTCATTTACGGTAGAATAATCTTTGCAGTAACTGTAACTATGTATTGTTAATGCTTGTATTTTAATTGTTTAAGTATAGATATTAAATCATTATTTATTGTATACCTATTTTTTAACATCTACAGACCTACACTAAATTTTTTCTTCAAATTCAAATACCATGTATTTGTATATCAATAGTTTATTTTAGGAATATTTCAACTCAAACTGTTTAATTGTAAACTTTGAAACAGAGATAACTGTCGATTCATTTTTACTCGTGGGATGCCATTATTCGTAGATTATGTGGGTTAAAGTAATCCATAAATTTAAATGTTCAACGATGTACAAATTTTCTATACGCTTGAACTAATCCATGGATTCAAATATCTACGAAAATACAATTTTCCCTCAATCCTCAAAAATTGGTTCCCACAAAAATAAATAAATCCACAGTACCATGTATTTATATATCAATAATTTATTTTAAAAATATTACAATCCAAACTGTTAATTAATAGATTGATGGCTGGTAATTGTTAACTTTGAAACAGATAGTTCATACAGGAAAAATTGGTATACAAAAAATATAGGAAACATTCCATTGTTGACATAATATTTCTGTTGAAGAAAATGGTGCAAAGTGCAATAGTTATTTTTGTAGATTACACAAAACTGGTTGCTTTTATAATAAATGAATAAGCTAAAACGGTGTTGTTTTGTCTGTAATGTTTATTTGAATGAGGGGAAGGGCAGTAGTTGTACTAATTTAAAAAAAAATGATGATTGATTGATTGGTGTTTAACCCACTTGCAACACTATTGTGCTATTTCGTGGTGGTCAGTTTTTATTATTGGAGGAAGCCGAAGTGCCGGGAGAGAACCACCAACCTTTGGTAGGCAAACTGACAATCCTTTGTCAATTAAGATTGGAGTGGAGTGCACCTGCCCCAATCGGGATTTGAACTCACAACCTCAGTGTTGACTGGCTAGTGATATAGTAGTTCGACTACTTAGACCACTCGGCCACAGAGGCCCCCCCTTTTTAAAAGAAGAGAAGCACTAATTTTAATGACTTTCCTGGAGCAGATTGGTTAAAATTCTTGCAAATTCAACAGTTTATTAGGTTTAATGATAGAAACAGAAGGTTGGAAAAAATCGTTGATTGACTTCACTTGAGAGTGAAAAACACTTTTTTCCCCCTCCTATTTGATAATTTTGGTTCATGACAGTATAATGCCCCCCTTACTAACAGAAATTCTGCTGCTACAGTGATATGCCTAACTTTTAACAGTAGCAGCAGGAATTGGGTAGTTCGAGTATTTGTTTTTACTATGGCAGCTATGTGAACAAATGAAAAATTTATTTTGTGCAAATACTATTCAAATTAATCGATTTGTTTTTAAAAAGTCAGTATCTATTAAAGTCATAGAATTTTAGAAGAAACCTTTAGTCAACCATGTTTTATCCTTTATCTGACTTAGAAATTATGTTGATGGTGACAAAACACAAAAAGTTATATCTGATTTTATACAATGGAGTAACCTATTTTCTGTTAGTTTTGTCTAGATTAGCCTTCTCCTTTGTAGAAATGACCAGAAAGCAGTAGCTATTATCTCTCCTGGGGGCCTCAGTGGCGGAGTCGATTAATACTCTGTATCCCTATCCTGTCAAGAATAAATAGCACAATAGTGCTGAAAGTGGCATTAAACACCAATCAATCAATCATCTTTCCAAACTATCATTTGAATAGATGCTTCTTGCTTGTGTCATTACTATTATACATGACCTTTCAAATTACATACCAAAGAATAGCAATAAGCCATTTGAATCTTTGACCATATTTCATTGTCGATTTTATATACCAGGTCGGGATAATTTATGTTTTAAGTGCCTATATCAAGAAAGATTATCATTTGTATTTTTGTGACAGTTTGTTGTTTTCATAGCTAACCACGGACAAAAGGTCAGTGTGAGTGAGCTTTTCTGATCATTTATAAAATTTGCATCTTTTGTCTCTTAGTCATTTTCTAGTGTACATTGTCAACTTTTTAAATTAATTCAATCTCTGAAAATTACTGGTCAGAACAATTTGAAACCAAATATGGCAAATCATTCTTAGGGCGTCTAATTTAACAAACTGTTGACACAGAGATATGGCTATCTATAAGAAATTTTGATAGTATAATGCAAAAGTTGAAATTAAAATGGCTATATTTTAATATGTTAATTGTCTATGCAAATCATTCAAAGTCAATTGCAAGATCCATGACTGAAAGAACAGGGTCAAATAATCTCAATCCAATGAGATATGCCAATACTCAAACAATTGAATACCAAATGCCATTGACTGACTATCAGTTGTTCCCTTTAAACTTGTCTAAACACAAAACTTTAACATGTAAACTATACAAAAGTTTCAAAGTCATCAAAACCATGACTGAGCGATGCAGGCCAAATAATCTCCATGGATATGAGATGTGGAAATCTTAATACAACTGCATACCAAATATCATTGACCACACATTAGTGGTTTCCTGTAAACTGATCATATCACAAATTAAAGTCTTGACTCCTGGACTTCTTTAGACAGGGTTTTGAAGTTAAATAAACTAATTTAAGATAAATTTAACAAGGTTTATTATAAAAAAAGTATACATGCACACTACAAGTATATAAATGATTAATTCTCTAAAATCTAACTATTTGTAAAGAATTAATTCAGAGTAACAAATATAAGGAACACATTAGAATATATATTGTGGAAAAATATATCAACAACAAATAACATATCTAGAAAAAACATTTACATAACGTCCCTCTATTTACATTTAACTAAGTAAAACAATTCTCAAAGCAGTATTTATAAAACACCACTCCTGGGATACCTCATTGAGCTGAATCTACCAATTGATATGCAAATCGGTTTATAAGGATTTTAAAATGTCTAGGTATCAGAAATATATAATACACCATGTAAAAGGAGTACCTGGTAACTATATCATAGCGTTGTACTTCTAGTGTGCTAGGAGGTGGGGTATACAAATTTTGACAACACAGGTCCCTATTCTAAAAAAAGTGAAACTTCTTCAAAAGTGTATCTGAAATTATTAAGTATAAAAAATTATCTATATTTAAAAAGATACAGCGTGTAAACTATAATATGACTGAAACTCGTCAAAATAAATAAAGATGACCCTGCCTTCTGCTAAGGACTGTCATTCTGTAAAAAGTAGTTGGTCAAGAGCAAAACTTAAACTTAATCTGTAACTTATCATTATATATGATACCAAATTCATCTCGATATCTACAGGCATAATAAAAAGTCTTGATAACATGCATATCAGGACAAGAACATCTTAATGTGATATGAATATGAACCCTGGTTTGTACTAGACCAAAATGATGAACTAGATTTTTAATTTGAAAGTTCAAAAGCTAACAATCTGCAGGAAGAAATGTTACCCTAACAGGACACATTATTATGACTCTGACCCGGCCTGAAATTGAACCAACAACTTATTGCACTCGAGGCTAGCATGCTACCATGAGACCACCAAGAAGTCTAACATGGGTAAGACTATATACCCCCACCACTGGATCATATAAAATATGCTAGAAGTAAACATGAAATTGGTGCAGTTCCTCCAGTGACTTCTGTGCTTAATGTAAGTAGGAATAGTGTAAATCAGATAATCACATAGGAATTTTTTTTTTAAATTGCACAAAGTGTTTCATTGTCTCATATGAAAGATTATCATCATTATGTGTTTATATTTGAATATGTAAGCAATAAACAACTGCACCATAAGCCAATTAATACCACCGTCCACAATGCACCATGTTGCATACATTAACGTTAAAAGTACTGGAAATACAGCCCTATTATGCATTTTAATTTTCAGTGTTGAGAATATAAAGCAAAATTTACAAAATACAAAATTTACAAAATGTATTGATAAGGAAATAACTTCTCATAGTTTATGATAAACAAGACAAATCAAAATCAGTTTACAAATAACAAGCTTATTAAAACTTTTTTCCAAACATCTTTAGAACAAGTAACTTTTTTGTACATGTACATTGTAGTTACTGAATCAATGTAAGTGAGACATTTACCTGATCTGATAATGCACATACATTTCACTAATATTCAATTTAATGCTCATTCATATATCATATTAAATAAATACTTTGACTGCTTCACTGTATTAAAAAGTTTATCTTAAAGTACCAATAAAGATCAAAATTGTCAAAAACAAACAAAACAAACAAAACGACATCAAAAAACCAAAGAAAAATATTCATTGCAAATTTCCCTGCATAATTTGAGTTGTTCAAGCTAAGCCTATTTTTGTTTTATCCAATGAAAACACAAAGCTTACTAATTCCAACCTTAAGAATTTCCTTATTTTATGTTCACCAGTTCTAATCTAGTGTAAAAAAAACACTGCAAAATATTATGCAAACCAATTTATAACAAGACACCATGCTCCATTGGCACTGTCACATTTCCATGTAAGTGAACTAAGCTGTGTGGAGGCCTTAAAAAGTTTCCTTGTGCTTGAGGTGTATGCATTTTCTTGATTTTTAAAGTTATGGTGTATTTATTCTAGAGATAACTTCTCTTATGTGTGCCACATCATTCTGTCAATTTTAGGCCAGTTTGTGTACTAAAATTTTAATAAGACGCACATCACTTATTCTTGGCCACCATTCTTGGTACTCATATCTGAGAAACAGTCAATATATGCCCTCCTTTTAAAGATTTTTCATACATTTTTGTATTATTCAAAGTTATCAGTCAGAAGGTGTTCTGAAGGAACTATTTTGTTTTGAATATGTACTATTTTCCAGTATGTTCTTTTTTACAGAGCCCGATTTGGTGGTGTTACATCTTACAAAGTCTCTCCAAATTATTTTGCTAAGAATTCCGTTCAAACTGGTGCAAGGGGTCGTCTTAACCTTGCAGTGAGGTAAGAGAGTATTTGCATGCTGAAGACCTCATTTTGACTTTGAGATGAAGAACAGCGATAAAAGCACTGTTCAGCGCTGTTCCTTTGCTTTTTGTGTTTGTTTTTTTTGCTCTGCATGTACTGATTTTGTGTCATGGATGGCTACCCAATATCCTTTGTTTTTCTATTATGAAATCTTTGTCAAAACCCTAATTTGGCATATATCTAAAAGTTCACATCATAATGAACATGCATACTAAGTTTTAAGTTGATGTGACCACAAATTTATGGTAAACTACCGTAAGCCAAAACTTCAACCTGATACGGGACGGGCAGATAGACTAACAGACAGACATATCGACAGAGAGACACACAGACATGAAAATATCTTGTCCTTCTACTATCCAAGGTGAGGCATATAAATTCACAAATAAGGATTTACCTATATTTGATGGTATAAAAGTACTGTATAAAATATAAGGCAGTGATATCAGAAACAAAATACAGAATTTATTTTGGACAAACGGAAATTGCAACATAGCCCCATTCCGAGAGTGTTTGTAAAATATGACATAAGAATTAATATTTGTAACCAGTAGTCAATACACATGTTATGTGAAAAATATCAGGCATACTAAACAGGTGGTAAAAGTGCAGCATTTTCATCTGTTGTTTCCTCTATTTGATTATCTAATGACCTAGATATATGGCGTTCTACTTTGATTTCTTTATGATCGTCCTCTTTTATTGCTGGCTGAGACTTACTCCTCATCAACTTAAAAAGAAAACAGGAAAATACTAGGTTAAACCTTCTAAAAAATAAATGGAGAATGTGTCCATGGGACACAGATGATGCCCACCCTTGCATATAACATTATAAAGGGACATAACTCAAGAACGGTAAAAGTGACGCAACCAATATTTCAATTTGATCTGTATTTTGTGATAATAAGCTTTGCGTATAAGTTTCATAACATTTGGTTGTGGCAAACTAAAGTTAGAGAACAGAAACCAATTTTGGAAGGTACAGACGTACAGATGGACAGACGGACAAGGGTCAACACTTAATGCACCCTCCACTGTGGCATAAATATTCTTCAAATATTTCAAAATCATGCTCAATATTTATATTTGTGAAAATCAATTTATATAAAGCCCTATAAAGGTTGAATTTTAAAAATACTGCAATTTCCAGCAATCTGCTGATAATCATGAAAAGAAAGAAATGTTGTTCAAATAATATTAACAAAGAATATTAACTTCTTTATAACCTCAGCTGTCATGTGAAGAAAATCTTAAACAAAACCCTTGTCTTGTCAAATAAAGAGCAATGGCATATAAGATGGTGTTAATAAAATTTAGATCTGTTAAATAAAGCTGAGAGGAGATCTAATATAAGATAAACATTGTACTATTCACAATTATGTAGTGTCATTCTGAAAGAAATGAAATATTTATTAGCTATACAGTCTGTGGAAAATCTATATAGAGTAAGTTAGTACATGTTAAATAAAATGCCAGATAAGAAAAAAAAGTGGTTTACAAAACAATATTTATGTGTTTGGCATAGAAATACTTAAATAAAAATTTTAATCGTAAATTACAAACATTTTGTTGCTGAAATCCATGTCTAGAAAAGTATTTTTTTTATGAATAATCTGTATGATTTACAAGGCAACAATATGAGATGTAGAAATACTAAAACAAATTTTTAAATCATAAATAACAAGTTATTTATGATTAAAATTTTTATCAATAAAAAAATATTGCCCACAGTTATTATGTATCGCATTTTTTAAATTAAAAAAATCGCACATGCTCTATCCAAAAAAGGTTTTAACAGTGTAGTGTACTTCTTTTGGGACAAATTATATCAAAATTATTGAAGTCTATCGGCTCTAACGCAAAATATGGACAATTTTATGTTAAGGAAGTCTATAACTCAGTTTGACACTGAGCTTCAGACATACTTATTCTTTACATTTTCAAACTGGACCAAACCACTTCTTTACCCAAATTTTTATTACATGTAATTTCATCCCCTAATTACTAATTTATGCATAAAATATAGAGAAATAAATCTGGAAGGTGTATGAAAAAATTTTGCAAGCCACACTAGGGACTCTATTTGTAGACAACGAAAATAAAATTATTCCCAATTTCAGATCTTTCTGATTACTAAACTCATCTAGGGTTTTCATTAGAGGAAACCTCCATTCAAATTCAAAGAGATCTGAATAAAAATGAAGACACTAGCATGGCTTTACAGGGTGAGAAAAACATTATATCTCCTCAAAACAAGGAATTATTTGAATCTGGAAAAATTTTGAATTCCTGAAAATTGATAAGAAATGTATGATGAAAACTTTAGTGGGTTATATTAACCATGCGTGCATGGACACCAAACTCAATCGTGCCAATAAAGTATAAAATACAGGTCCTAGTGACATACTTTTTGTTACTACTATATACTCTCAAGATGTATCTCAACACCCAGGTGTCTCATTTTAATTTCTCTGTATTCCATAGATTTTTTTTTGGGGGGGGGGGGGGGGGGGGTTATTTAGTTCAAAAGATGCACAAATTTTGAAAATACAACTCCAAATATTATTATTATACAGGAAGAGTTGATCAACCACTGAAACTAGAAAACAGGGGTTCGTTTTACAAAAAATCTGACTACTTAAATTGATCATAAGTTATACTGAAATGTTCATGACTTACAAGTGTTTTCACTCTAAAAGATTTTTTGTGAAATGATCCATCAACTTGTCAGCAAGGGTTTCCCTTGAACACTTTGTGTGAAGCACAGACACAGTTTCTTTGTATATTTTAAGCAGAGAATTAACTCAGGACATACTCTCTATAATTATACAGTTTTTCAAACTCCAAGTACTGTGTATTTTGGCAGATATTTCATAAAATGTTGGCAACAAATAATTATTAACACTGAGGAAATCAAACAAATTAAACATTCATATTGATTTCATTGAAATCGAAGCAAAAAACAGATGTTACTCAAAATTTGTCAATAAAAAAAAAACTAAGTTATTACCACATTTTGACATGGATAATCAATTGGGTAAACATATTACACCTATATATCAAATTTCTTTGAAACGCTAACACAAAAACATGTTTTTTTTTTAAATTTGTGATTTTTTAAACAAAAATTTAAGTTTTACCCCCATATTACATGTATTAAACACCAAAAATCAATTAGGAATAGGATATAATACCTCAATATAAATTTTAGTTGCAAACTAGTTAAAAAAAGTGTTCTAAAAAATTGGTGATTATTAACACAAAGTAAGAAATGCCGACAGACAAATGCACAGACGACAGAAAGAGAGATTATTATTGGGCACTAACTTAGTCTAGTCGGTGAAGCCCTAATAAAGAAAAAGGCGAAAAACATCTAATACTGTAGTTATACAATAAAACAAACAATAATACATGCTTAGAGAATGCCATTGGACTAATGAATCTACTATAAATAGCTGGAAGCAGCATTCTTTTGGGCAAAAGACATCTAACACTCACATCAATCAAAGAGAACTCATCATTGTGGGTCTGACTACTGCCACTTCTGTTTGAGATCTGCCTTTCAACCTGAGAAAACAATCAGCCATAAACAAATGTATACCCATCAATCAGTCACAAAAAAAATCCACCAATCTATACAGATTTGTTTAAATATTCAATATGTGGGTATCATACAAACTGAAATAGGAAAATATTTGGAAATACTGATCAAAATATTTCTACATATACTATGGCACACTTGAGAAAAAAGAGACTGATTGATTGTTGGTGTTCAACACGACTTTCAGCACTCTTGTCTATAAACTTGTGGCCACTTTTCATTGGTAGAGGAAGCCAAAATGATAACCTCAGTGTTGAAAGGCTAGTGATATTGTAGATGAACTACTTAGACTGCTCAGCCACCAAGGCCCCTTTTCATGATTGAAAAATCTAGATAAAATATTAACATAGAATAGAGAATGGAAACCGGGATTGTCAAAGAGACAGCAACCCGACCAAAGAGCATAAAAACAGCTCAAGGCCACCAATGGGTCTTCAACGCTGTGAGAAAATCCTGCACCCGGAGTCAGGCTTCAGCCAGCCTCTAAACGATAATGTATATGAATTCAACGTTTGATACTGATGAGGAATGTATAATCAGGAGGGACCTATTATCTACCCTTGTACTTTTTGCATAATAGCAAGACTCAAATAAAGTAACTTAAATTCTAAAGTTTTAATGTAAAAACTGAAGTAGTTTTATTGTTTTTTAAAAAAGTCAAAAAGCATTTCATGAAATGGTCACTTTTTTCAGCATTAAAAAAATATTGGGAGACTTAAACAGATAGCTGGAGAGTTGACACCCATTAAAATACCAAGTACAGATAAAAAGAATTAACCAAAATTATGTGTGTGTATAACAAGAACTTAACCATTAGTAGGTACTCCTTTCTGGAAATTCTAAAGCTTTCTGTGACTCATATCTTAATGAGGAAAAAACAAATAACCACCCATTGTTAATTTCTTATCACTCTTAAAAACAAATTCTACTTTGTATCTGGTAGTCATTGAAAAAAGTTATTCTTCAGCAAACCTTGGAAAACTATATAGTTCCTTGACAAGGAGATATTATTGTTTCTTCTTGCAATAGGATCATAGGTGCAGAAGTACTAAAGGTTGACAATACTTGCTAAAGAAGTGATATTCTTACATTATTTGTTGTTCTCCTTGCTCTCTGTGCCCTGGCTACTTGTATTCTTTTATGAATGTCAACATAAATATCAGTTTCATCTATTATCTCCTCTTGAATGAGCTCTTCAATTACATCTTCTAAAGTTATAATTCCAATCACCTAAAATATCATAGAATAAATGGAGAATGTGTCCATGGGACACAGATGATACCCCTGCTTGCATATAACGTTATAAAGGGACATAACTCAAGAACGATAAAAGTGACACCACCCACATTCGAATTTGATCTGAGCTTTGTGGTAATTAATAAAGCATTGTGTATAAGTTTCATAACAATTGGTTGAGGCAAACTAAGGTTAAAGAATGGAAATGAAAAATTCAGCAATTTTTCCATTTGTAAAGGGACATAACTCTAGATCGGAAAAAGTGACATCACCCAAATTCAAACTTGATCTGTGTTTTGTGGTAATAAACATTGTGTATACGTTTCATAACATTTGGTTGATGCAAACTAAAGTAAGAGAATGGAAACCAATATTGGGACGGACGGACAGACAAGGGTAACACTTAATGCCCCCATCCGCTGCTGCAGGGGCATAAAAAAAATCAAAATCAACAGTATAAACCAACATAAAATTTTCTTTTGGAGTTGGTAGCTGAGTACTATCATCTAAGAGGTTTGTATATAAATATGAGAAAAACATTATACTTGAATCATATTGATATGTGTTCGATTGCTGAACTGATGCTTTCTGCATGTCAATGGGTTAACACTATTAAGTCATTTGTAACTGGGCAAGAAATTTTTAAAATAGAACTGACAACTGAACTTGCTTAAAAATTTGTTTGCGTAAAATGAATATTCATAAGTAACTTACTGTGCCCTCTGGAATATCTGAATATTCATTAACCTGTGAGTTAATTTCTTCAAGTATACAGGTGTCGTCACTCTCATTTAAGGATCTATTACTGGTTCTTTTGTTTACTATTGCTAAATGTCCTGAAATGAGAAAGCCACATGTAAATATTTGAAGCCTAATTCAGCTTTTATCTTTTTGGCCCCTTACCTGCTTTAAGTCACATTAGAACTACCTTGTCAAAGTATGAAATTATGCTGTAATGTATTTTTCATTGTACCTTCCCACCATTTGGTTTCAATACACCAATTTTGTGTTCAAGCTTATGATGAAGTCACAGTAGACAGACACTAAGTAATTGAAAAAGATTAAATGGCTGTTGTTTAAGGTATCAAACAATTTGATAAAATTTCCAAAGCTCTGTCGCTGAGAACCTTAGGTACATGCAATATTACAGTTGATATACGACTCTCCTTAAACCCGATATATCCTAAAGTTTAAAATCTATCAAAATATCCCTAACTCATGACATATTACTTCAGATATTTGCAAAAACTAACTTTTTGTGTCAAAAGAATTACTCCTTTGATTTTTCACTCCTTATACACATAGTATGTTTTATTTGTGTATTTTTTTGTGTTTATTTTTTTTTTTTTTGAGTTTCACATGTTTGCTTTTATATTTGTTTTTGCATTTTTGATACAACTAACTATGCCTGATTAATTAAGGTGTTTCCTATGTGGAAAGACCTTATTGTTTTTCTATAGTTTTTTTCTTCCATTTTTTTTTATAGCCTACCTGAGTCCTTTTCTATTGAAGTTATCATGACCAAATTTAGATCATCGATAGATCTTATCGTGAAGTAGGATTTCATCTTCCCCTTCAAAATTTATCTCCCTTTTATTGTTTTTTTTTTCAACATGGCCTCTCCTTGTTGTTTTTGAAGATATCATGACCTTATTTGGACAATAGTTAGATCTCATCATGTAGTATTACCAGATGACCCTGCATAGGATTTCATCATCCCCCTCTACAGTTTCCCCTTGAAACAATTTTTTTATTTGCATATATCTTAAAAATTGTTACAGATAGGAATCAATCTGAAAATGGCAACATGTACAGAAACAGATGGTAATGTTAATAAACATAAACAATTATTTTGTTATCAACCTTTATAAGAGTTACTTCCCTAGAAATATTAAACACAACTTAAAAAAAATGTATTTTGAGAACCAGAAGTTGTAGAGCATGGGACTTTCACCAACAGTCTTAAGTTTATGTGACCTTTTATTTGCACCGAAGGTCATAGGTCATTATAGAGTGCAAAAAGATTTAACGCTTTAAATTTAAGCTTGAAGGTTAAGAAAACAATAAAAGACAGCTACATACGCACAGCATATAAAATGTTCCTCTCAAAAAGCTCTACATTTCACACATTAGACCAAAATCTGTTGGACCATTCGTTCAAAAGTTACGAAGAGATGGTTCTTTAAATATAGTATTTTTGAATATATCCTTGAAACGGTAACACATATCAGCCTTCTATAAACTGCAAAAATGATCAGTACTTTAAGACCTTTGAGGTCAATGTTAAGGTCATGAGGAAATTTCACCTTGGCATTCAAATGGTACTATAACCTTGACCTTGTGACCTTTTGAAAGGTCAATTGGTCCTGAGTTGAATGGTGGTAGTCCCATGTCTCTATAACTTCCGGTTGCATCATATATTCAATTATGCATTGTGCCCTTAATGAGCTATGGAATTGCCCCATTTTTTGTGACAGTGTTGTACTTCATCAGCAGATCATCTTTCAATTAGCAGATTTGAGGTATCTGTTTTGTTTTAGAGATATTTTTGTTTGAAATATTGTGAGTGGGGGCATATATTTCTGAATCAAAAACAGGCTAGCACATGGAATTTACATAAATTGAAGAGTTTAACATGGTTATATGTATGACTAAATACCAAAAACATTTGATGAAAAAAAATTTCATGTTTTACATTGACTTTAAGTTTTATTTATAAAACATATTGCATCATTTTTTGGACTTAGCCAAATGGAGTCATGTGACATATCAAATAGAACGTCTAAATGAGCTCTATTCAAAACTGAAAATGATTAAACCCCTTTATTCATCTTAAAGAGAAGGGTTGAGTCATTAAGGGTAAAAATTAAAACTGCAAAGATGGTAAGGTTGTCTCATATCAAATTTTTGTCCAAAATTTTTGTCCATAAAGCTTAGATTTCAAATATCAAATTTGTGTCCGCCAAAAATGAGTTAGGTGGGATCATTGAGTCCAAAAAATAATTTGTCTTAGAAGGCAAGGTTGTTGCATATCAAATGAAAGGTCGTGAATTTCAAATATCAAGTTCATGTCCCCCAAAAATGGGTTGAATGGGATTATTAATTGCAAAAAAGATCCAACTTATAAGATGGTGGTGTTGTCCCATAGCAAATGAAAGGTCATCAAGTCTACATTACAAATATCATACTTCCAATCTCAAAAATTGAGGTGGATAGGGTAATTTAGTGCAAAGAGTGAAAAGTTTAAGAAGGTATATATGCTTGTCGCATATCAAACGAAAAGGTTGTAAAGAGTAAGTTACAAATATCAGACTTTTAAGGGAAAGACCTTTGCACTAGACAGGATGTAAATGAATACTCTGCTAAACAGAATGCAGGATAGTGGAGGAAACAAACATGAACAAAAGTGAAAATAAATGTTTTTGTGTGGCAAAGACGCAGGAAAAATTAACCATATATAGCAACAAATGAAAATAAATGGTCATTCCGGAAAAAAAAATCTCCTGCCTGCACTCCCCCCCCCCCCCCCCCCCCCCCCCCCCAGAATATCAAATGGTCATCAATACCTGCCAACTTTTCAAAATCTTTATGGGTGATTTAAGGAACAAGAGGACCTTATGCTCCTCTTATATTGCCATAAGTATTTTTAATCTACTACTATTTTGTTTGATGAGAATGTATGTGCTTAAATACCATTTAGACTCATAATTGAATGCCTGTTTTGAGGTGATCAGTTTATATATAAAAGAATTTCAAAATTCAGGTCAACACCTCTCATGGAGTATATCCCCCATAAATTGGGATAGTTGACAAGTCTGGTCATCCCCTAATTCTACAGGTCATAAACTCCAGGATAAACTTTTTCAATCATTTCATTTAGATTTAAATTTTCAAGCACTTTATACCTTCTGGTACTAATATACCAATACTGCATCATTTATTTTTCATTGTAATTTACTGTCACTTATATGTGTCAGTGTGAATGTTCAAACATGTCTTATCTACTATACCTTGATCTGTGACATTACCCTATATGTATGGTATTTTATCAATTCATTCTCTATTGATAAAAGATTTATTCCAAAACAGTCCATTTCTTTTAGGATTTTATTCTTGCATGGTTTTACATTAACCTTTAATCTCTGCCATTAATTTTGCATTGATTATGAATAATCCCTGCAATGTATAAAGTTAAATAGCAGGGGTGGATCCAGCCATTTTTAAAAGGGGGGTTCCAACCATATGTCCCCATTCAAAAGCATTGATCGTCTAAAAAAAGGTGGGGGGGGGTTCCAACCCCCGGAACCCACCCCCCTCCCTGGATCCTCCAATGAATAGATAATGGATTTAAACGTCCTCACAGTGACTCATTGTAAGTGCTGATTCCCATGGCCGGGTTTTCATACATAACAGGAGACTCTTATCTTGTCAACACACCCAGGCTCGTTCCTTTCGGAGTTCATGAGATTTCTTGTTTCTTCCTAATGGATTTACAAGATTTGAACATCAGCAAACTACTGTCCCCTTAAATTAAGTAACGATAAGAACTTTACCTTCTAACCTCTCTCAATGATAAAGCTGTGTTACAAGTATACCAAAGATATTAAAAAGTCTGAAGCTCTGCGGAGTCTACAGTAGTGAACCATACAACTAATTTGTTTGCCTACATTTTTTGTTTAATTAGGCTCATTTGTGACTTTTACCTATGACCTTGGAACTTTAGGTATACCTCATGCTCTAATAAAATTGAGAATGGAAATGGGGAATGTGTCAAAGAGACAACAACCCGACCATAGAACAGACAACAGCAGAAGGTCACCAACAGGTCTTCAATGCAGCGAGAAATTCCCGCACCCGGAGGCGTCCTTCAGCTGGCCCCTAAACAAATATATATACTAGTTCAGTGATAATGAACGCCATACTAAACTCCAAATTGTACACAAGAAACTAAAATTAAAAATAATACAAGACTAACAAAGGCTAGAGGCTCCTGACTTGGGACAGGCGCAAAAATGCGGCGGGGTTAAACATGTTTATAAGATCTCAACCCTCCCCCTATACCTCTAGCCAATGTAGAAAAGTAAACGCATAACAATACGCACATTAAAATTCAGTTCAAGAGAAGTCCGAGTCTGATGTCAGAAGATGTAACCAAAGAAAATAAACAAAATGACAATAATACATAAATAACAACAGACTACTAGCAGTTAACTGACATGCCAGCTCCAGACTTCAATTAAACTGATTGAAAGATTATGTCTTCATCATATGAATATCAGGCACAATCCTTCCCGTTAGGGGTTTAGTATCATACCATCATAACATATATGAGAAGAACATAACCCGTGTCATGCCAACAACTGGTTTTTAAATAAATGTGTTAAGTGCCGATGCAAAGACCCTATAAGTGAATCAATATTAACGCCAAAATATGCAATCTTTAATGACCTGACAACAGTATCGTAACTATATCCCTTCTTAATAAGTCTATTTAAAGGTTTTGTTAGCTTCAGAGGTGAATACTGACATTTTTGTGCTTTATAAAGAATATTTCCATAAAAAATTGGATGTGAAATACCTGAACGTATAAGAAGTCTGCATGTTGAGCTATATTTACGAATGATGTCCTTATACCGATGATAAAATTTAGTAAATGTTTTGACTAGTTTGTGATATCGAAAACCCTGGTGTAATAATTTTTCAGTAATACATAAATTTCTCTCGTTAAAATCTAAAACACCATGAATGATCACTGATCCTTCTATTTTCCACATATTTACAAGTAATATTGACTCGATGTGTCTTTGTATAGATAAAAGAAATCCATTATAAATTA